ACGACTGGAACGACTGAAACGACTGGAACGACTGGAACGACTGGAACGGCTGAAACGACTGGAACGACTGAAACGACTGAAACGACTGGAACGACTGGAACGACTGGAACGACTGGAACGACTGGAACGACTGGAACGACTGAAACGACTGAAACGACTGGAACGACTGGAACGACTGGAACGACTGGAACGACTGGAACGACTGGAACGACTGGAACGACTGGAACGATTGGAACGACTGGAACGACTGGAAGACTGAAACGACTGAAACGACTGGAACGACTGGAACGACTGGAACGACTGGAACGCCTGGAACGACTGGAACGACTGGAACGACTGGAAGACTGAAACGACGGAAACGACTGGAACGACTGGAACGACTGGAACGACTGGAACGCCTGGAACGACTGGAACGACTGGAAGACTGAAACGACTGGAACGACTGGAACGACTGGAACGATTGGAACGACTGGAACGATTGGAACGACTGGAACAACTGGAACGCCTGGAACGACTGGAACGATTGGAACGACTGGAACGACTGGAACGCCTGGAACGACTGGAAGACTGAAACGCCTGGAACGACTGGAACGACTGGAACGACTGGAACGACTGGAACGACTGGAACGCCTGGAACGACTGGAACGACTGGAACGACTGGAACGACTGGAACGACTGGAACGACTGGAACGACTGGAACGACTGGAACGACTGAACGACTGGAACGACTGGAACGACTGGAACGACTGGAACGACTGGAACGACTGGAACGACTGAACGACTGAAGACTGGAACGACTGGAAGACTGAAACGACTGGAACGACTGGAACGACTGGAAGACTGAAACGCCTGGAACGACTGGAACGACTGGAACGACTGGAACGACTGGAACGACTGGAACGACTGGAAGACTGGAACGACTGGAACGACTGGAACGATTGGAACGACTGGAACGACTGGAATGACTGGAACGCCAGGAACGACTGGAACGACTGGAAGACTGAAACGACTGGAACGACTGGAACGACTGGAACGACTGGAACGACTGAAACGACTGGAACGACTGGAACGCCTGGAACGACTGGAACGACTGGAACGACTGGAACGACTGGAACGACTGGAACGATTGGAACGACTGGAACGACTGGACCGCCTGGAACGACTGGAACGACTGGAACGACTGGAAGACTGAAACGACTGGAACGACTGGAACGACTGGAACGATTGGAACGACTGGAACGACTGGAACGACTGGAACGACTGAAACGACTGGAAGACTGAAACGCCTGGAACGACTGGAACGACTGGAACGATTGGAACGACTGGAACGACTGGAACGCCTGGAACGACTGGAACGACTGGAAGACTGAAACGCCTGGAACGACTGGAACGCCTGGAACGACTGGAACGATTGGAACGACTGGAACGATTGGAACGACTGGAACGATTGGAACGACTGGAACGACTGGAACGCCTGGAACGACTGGAACGACTGGAACGACTGGAACGACTGGAAGACTGAAACGCCTGGAACGACTGGAACGACTGGAACGATTGGAACGACTGGAACGATTGGAACGACTGGAACGACTGGAACGCCTGGAACGACTGGAACGATTGGAACGACTGGAACGACTGGAACGCCTGGAACGACTGGAAGACTGAAACGCCTGGAACGACTGGAACGACTGGAACGACTGGAACGCCTGGAACGACTGGAACGACTGGAACGACTGGAACTGGAACGCCTGGAACGCCTGGAACGACTGGAACGACTGGAACGACTGGAACGCCTGGAACGACTGGAACGACTGGAACGACTGGAACGACTGGAACGCCTGGAACGACTGGAACGACTGGAACGACTGGAAGACTGAAACGACTGGAACGACTGGAACGACTGGAACGATTGGAACGACTGGAACAACTGGAACGCCTGGAACGACTGGAACGACTGGAAGACTGAAACGCCTGGAACGACTGGAACGACTGGAACGACTGGAACGCCTGGAACGACTGGAACGACTGGAAGACTGAAACGCCTGGAACGACTGGAACGACTGGAACGACTGGAACGACTGGAACGACTGGAACGACTGGAACGCCTGGAACGACTGGAACGATTGGAACGACTGGAACGACTGGAACGCCTGGAACGACTGGAACGACTGGAACGACTGGAAGACTGAAACGCCTGGAACGACTGGAACGACTGGAACGACTGGAAGACTGGAACGACTGGAACGACTGGAACGACTGAAACGACTGGAACGATTGGAACGACTGGAACGACTGGAACGACTGAAACGACTGGAACGACTGGAACGACTGGAACGCCTGGAACGCCTGGAACGACTGGAACGACTGGAACGACTGGAACGACTGGAACGACTGGAACGACTGGAACGACTGGAACGACTGGAACGTCTGGAACGACTGAAACGACTGGAACGACTGGAACGACTGAAACGACTGAAACGACTGGAACGACTGAAACGACTGAAACGACTGAAACGACTGGAACGACTGGAACGACTGGAACGACTGGAACGGCTGAAACGGCTGGAACGACTGGAACGACTGGAACGACTGGAACGACTGGAACGACTGAAACGACTGAAACGACTGGAACGACTGAAACGACTGAAACGACTGAAACGACTGAAACGACTGAAACGACTGAAACGACTGGAACGACTGGAACGACTGGAACGACTGGAACGGCTGGAACGGCTGGAACGACTGGAACGACTGGAACGACTGAAACGACTGAAACGACTGGAACGACTGGAACGACTGGAAGACTGGAACGACTGGAACGCCTGGAACGACTGGAACGACTGGAACGACTGAAACGACGACTGAAACGACTGGAACGACTGGAACGACTGAAACGACTGAAACGACTGGAACGACTGAAACGACTGAAACGACTGAAACGACTGGAACGACTGGAACGACTGAAACGACTGAAACGACTGGAACGACTGGAACGACTGGAACGACTGGAACGACTGGAACGACTGGAACGACTGCCTCCGAATGGAAATGCATCTGTTTGTTTACTGACCACATAATCAAGCAGTACCAACTTGTATTCTTTAAGACTTGGCTCAATTTATTAAACGACTAAAACACAGATTTCCACACCAGAGCACACACACCACATCATGTGACAGGCCGAGTATTATATGATGGCGGTTTTCCATTTCCATCTCGATCTGTTGCTATGGTGCGTTTATGAATCCAAACACGGAGATAAGATCATCAAAAGGATAATTTATTGCTGAAGTGCTATCGGCTTTTACCACTCTTGACTTTGTAGCGTGAAACCAAAAATGTCACAGTTATTTCCTGAACTCTCTCTCCCAGAATAACAGCCCATCCCCCTCCCTCCGCGGTGCATTTGAGTCCCCTCGGCAAAAGCGCCTTTCTGCGTATCCATTACAGATGCACAGGGATCTATAACAGTTATCTTTTAAAGGAGCAGTTCCATGTAATATTATATAATCATTAATCAGCTGTTTCTCCTGATATCGTCCTCAATCCTGCTCAACAAAACCAAATAAAAATCTAATTGGAGCTTGGTGGTTGTTCATTCACTCACACATTCCAAGCATCGCAGTTATTCAGCACTATTGTTTTATCCGCACGGCAGGTCAGCAAGAGCCGGCCCATTAACAACACACTGCCTGTTTGTCGGACAATAAAACACACAGATAGACACAGAATACAGACACACATTATCGTTGTACATTAAAAGCTGCTCTGAAGCTCTGTTAATGTGTGAGATCAATGAAGTCGATCTTCTCCTATCTTGTCTGAATAACGGTTCAGGTTTATTTATTTTATTATTTATTTAGTATGGGCCTAACAATACCATTGGACAAACCAGATGCACTGATGTAAGTGTTAAAGCCATGGATCCATAATATTATCTGGATAGAGTATTAGTACTATGGCTTGGAGATGAAGGACCCATGTGCTCGGGGGATTCTCGCGTCACACAGGTGTATTTGGCACAAAGCATCATGGGAGCTCGTCCACTGCACAGAACCAGGGCGTCCAGGAGATGACCAAATATGGGCGAGTTCTGCTAATCTTTCGGTCTTGGGGGGGGGCGCCACTGAGTACAAGCCACTGAGTACAAGCCACTGATTTGAATAGGACGCCATCTTGGATTGCTAGGGCTTGATGTTAGCGCAGGTGCTAATGTTCAACACTAGTCACAGGGGCTTTTACAGTGCAGAAGATAAAATACATTTAAAAAAATGACTATATAATTTACACGTGAGAACTGTCTGGATCTTAACCACTTTCTTACTTATATGAAGCGTGTCTAAGCATTGGGGCAATAATGAAACTGCAAATGTATTTAATGAGATCTGTCTTTGCCTTGAACTGTTTACTCCTCATCTTCTGGAGCTTTGTGACATAATCAACAAGAGAATATCAGGAGCAGGACCTTTGAGGAGATAAGACAGTCTGGAAGTTTGGAGAAGAGATTCTTTGGAAAATTCTCGGCCCATCATTGGTCAATGGGGTTAGGGTTGAAGCCCTTGAGCTGAAATGACATGTACAAGAATGGACATGGTCAAGGATTTCTAATAATTAAATAAAGTCCAAAGTAAAGAAGACCAATGTTTTTGAAACGTGTTAAAGCCTTCAGAAAGTGCCGTAAATCATCAGGTGATTATCATTTACTGGCACATTCCTGAGGCTGTGTGAGGCTGTGACATGGATCCTTTACAGTGAAAGTAAGAGGTAAACAAACAAACAGTTTTGCCGAATGTCACCGTGCCCGCTGTGCGTTGGTCGGCGGGGTCACGGTGGAGAGGGAAAAACAGCAGTGGAAATGTCATAAATCAGATGGATTTTAGAATCTGATGACAAACCTAATTCCTTTCTGAAAAGAGCCGAGCTGTCCCCCCCTGACTGTCATCGAAGCTGGCCTATAAACATTGCAGCTGTCAGAGAAGCCTGTGCGGCCTGCGAAGGACATGCCTCTGCCCCTCTCACATGCTCCTGCCCCGGGACTATTCTGGACCGGAGGGGCAGCCGGATTCCACTTTGCATTTTGTCACATTGGGCCGCAGTGGGGGCTGGACCAGGACCCGGAGCAGCACACGGCAGCGTTACCACTTGCCACTGTTGCCCAACATTCCCGGTGATGCTTGACCATCTGTTGAAGGGCATTTACCCCGGCAAAATCACTTTATCCTTTTATCACTCCGGAGGCAGGTTGTGAAGCCTTAAAAAGGAAATGTGGGTGCAGAGAGAGTGGTGACGGTTGGGGAGGGGGGCTGCTAAATGTTGTCACTGCGAAAGGCGAGTAGAGAGGCTTTAGTGGCCATTTTCCACTCAACAAACGTCCAGCCTTATCTTCTCCGCTCACACAGCCGCGGTAACGGGATAGCCAGCAGCGTGCCTCCGTAACACAGGCCGCTGAAGCTGGAAACTCACTCACAGATAAAAAGAGGCTATACAATTACAGACGGACATCCAGGTATCCAAGACCAACAAGCTGTGTCCCATGTGTCCCATGTGTGCGTATTTACAACTATCTATTTCATCATCACAGGTTTTGGACAGTTTATTGCAGGACGTGTTCATACTCATGCATTTCTATGTCATTTTAACAGGTCCCATGTACATGCACTAATCGAATACTGAGAGACGATTTCAGCCAGTAAATCTATTAATCTATCTATTATGTAGAAAACATAATGATATAGATAATATTGATACCCACCTTATATACGACTTCTTCTTCTTTACTTCTTTATGTGACCGGAATAGCTTGTGGTAAATGTTTTAGCTGCTGAAGTTCATCCTTGTGCAGCTGTTTTCATGTTTGAGAAACTCAAGCTTCAAGCTTCTCTGAAAAGCTTCAAACTTTTCATAGTTTCCAATCTCAGGAAAAATGCTGAAAAAACAGTCAGTTTTATTATTTCAAGTGAGATCCATCTTGACTAAAGCTAGAAGGATTAATTGGTCCATAAAGACCTGTGCGTCAGATTTGTCAGTATTCAGTAAGACATAGTTTTTTTTTAGTTTTGCTCTGCAACTTTTTATTGCAGAGCAAAACAGATAATAGCAGAAAAACACTAATGCAATAAGTAAACAAAAACATATATTTCCCTTCCAGACCAGTGGGGGCGGGTTCTAGCTCCAAAAGATCCATGAGCATGCTGCAATACCACTCCGGGCCTGTGGGGGTGTACCCGGAAGAAGAATTTCCCAATGCTTTTGTATGGTGCCTTCTTTCCTCTGGAAAACCTCTTTACAGGATGGTCAAACAAACATTTTCCAGTCCCGCGGCCATTTTGAAAATCCCATTGAAGCAATGATGTCACATTAGTTTGAACGGTGGAGATCGGTGTGATAAACAGCCCAACTCTATCTCAATTAGAAAATATACATGTATCATCATCGCTATAAGCCACAGGGTCCAAAGAACCAGAAAAGAAAAGCAGCTTAATGTCCGGCAGTTATGGTCCTTTAAAAATGGCCCCTCATAATAAACCTCTTTGTGGTCTCCAATCAGAGAGAAGTGAATACATGAACACATTAATACATTAATACATTAATACATTAATACGATGATAACATGAACACATGGACACATGGGCACATGGGCACATGGACACATGGGCACATGGACACATGTAACCTTGCCTGCAAGCTGAATTCTCGCGGTATTTGTGAGTTCACAAACACTCGAGAATACATCTTGTACCGCTCCCGCTTACACTTTTCGAGTCGAACCACTGGGTGTGCGAGCCAATCACGCGCCAGTCTGGGGGTTTAGGGCGGGATATCCGGGTTTGACGAAAGCAAGAAGTGCCGGGCCGAAGCAAAACAAACATGGCTACGCAGGAGGACGGACGCAAAGTCAGTTTTAGCAGAATCTCCAATTTCTTTTTTGAAAGATGAACAGCGAGAGGCGCTTTGTACATTTCTGGACGGCAACCTTGGTAGGCGGGCACACAGCGTCACTTCGCCCAATCAGCTTCAAGTATTCTGCTGCTTACCCCTCCTTTCCCCGAAAGGATTCTCCGGGAGAAATCCCAGATTGATATCGCGGAGAACGCGTTAGAGTTCTACACAATCATCAATCTGGCTTTTGCCAGGTTAGGACACATGGGCACATGGACACATGGACACATGGGCACATGGGCACATGGGCACATGGACACATGGGCACATGGACACATGGGCACATGGGCACATGAGCACATGGACATATGGACACATGGACACATGGGCACATGGACACATGGACTCATGGACACATGGACACATGGACTCATGGACACATGGACACATGGACTCATGGACACATGGACACATGGACACATGGACACATGAGCACATGGACACATGGACACATGGGCACATGGACACATGAGCACATGGACACATGAGCACATGGACACATGGACACATGGACACATGAGCACATGGACACATGGGCACATGGACACATGAGCACATGGACACATGGACACATGGACACATGAGCACATGGACACATGGACACATGGACACATGGACACATGGACACATGGACACATGGACACATGGACACATGGACACATGAGCACATGGACACATGGACACATGAGCACATGGGCACATGAGCACATGGACACATGGACACATGGACACATGGGCACATGGACACATGGGCACATGGACACATGGACACATGGACACATGGACACATGGACACATGGGCACATGGGCACATGGACACATGGACACATGGACTCATGGACACATGGACACATGAGCACAAGGACACATGAGCACATGGACACATGAGCACATGGACACATGAGCACATGAGCACATGGGCACATGGACACATGGACACATGGGCACATGAGCACATGGACACATGGACACATGGACACATGGACACATGGACACATGGACACATGGACACATGGACACATGAGCACATGAGCACATGGACACATGAGCACATGAGCACATGAGCACATGAGCACATGGGCACATGAGCACATGGACACATGGACACATGGACACATGGGCACATGGACACATGGACACATGGACACATGGACACATGGGCACATGAGCACATGGGCACATGGGCACATGAGCACATGGACACATGGACAAATGGACACATGGACACATGGACACATGGACACATGGGCACATGAGCACATGGACACATGGACACATGGACACATGGACTCATGGACACATGGACACATGGGCACATGAGCACATGGACACATGGACACATGGACACATGGACTCATGGACACATGGACACATGGACACATGGACTCATGGACACATGGACACATGGACACATGAGCACAAGGACACATGAGCACATGGACACATGAGCACATGGACACATGAGCACATGAGCACATGGGCACATGGACTCATGGACACATGGACACATGAGCACATGGACACATGGACACATGGACACATGGACACATGGGCACATGAGCACATGGACACATGGACAAATGGACACATGGACACATGGACACATGGACACATGGGCACATGAGCACATGGACACATGGACACATGGACACATGGACTCATGGACACATGGACACATGGACACATGGACTCATGGACACATGGACACATGGACACATGAGCACAAGGACACATGAGCACATGGACACATGAGCACATGGACACATGAGCACATGAGCACATGGGCACATGGACTCATGGAAACATGGACACATGAGCACATGGACACATGGACACATGAGAACAAGGACACATGAGCACATGGGCACAGGAGCACATGGACACATGGACACATGGGCACATGGGCACATGGACACATGAGCACATGGACACATGGACACATGAGCACAAGGACACATGAGCACATGAGCACATGAGCACATGGACACATGGACACATGGACACATGGGCACATAGACACATGGACACATGAGCACATGGACACATGGACACATGGACACATGGACACATGGGCACATGGGCACATGAGCACATGGACACATGGACTCATGGACACATGGACACATGGGCACATGAGCACATGGACACATGGACTCATGGACTCATGGACACATGGACACATGAGCACAAGGACACATGAGCACATGGACACATGGACACATGAGCACATGGACACATGGACACATGAGCACAAGGACACATGAGCACATGGACACATGGACACATGGACACATGAGCACATGGACACATGAGCACAAGGACACATGAGCACATGGACTCATGGACACATGGACACATGAGCACAAGGACACATGAGCACATGGACACATGGACACATGAGCACATGGACACATGGACACATGAGCACAAGGACACATGAGCACATGGACACATGGACACATGAGCACATGAGCACATGGACACATGGACACATGGACACATGGGCACATGGACACATGGACACATGGGCACATGGACTCATGGACACATGGGCACATGAGCACATGGACACATGAGCACATGAGCACATGGACACATGGACACATGGACACATGGGCACATGGACACATGGACACATGGACACATGAGCACAAGGACACATGAGCACATGAGCACATGAGCACATGGACACATGGGCACATGGGCACATGGACACATGGACACATGAGCACAAGGACACATGAGCACATGAGCACATGGACACATGGACACATGAGCACAAGGACACATGAGCACATGAGCACATGAGCACATGGACACATGGGCACATGAGCACATGAGCACATGGACACATGGACACATGAGCACATGGACACATGGACACATGGACACAAGGACACATGAGCACATGGACACATGGGCACATGGGCACATGAGCAAATGGACACATGGGCACATGAGCACATGGACACATGGACACATGGACACATGGACTCATGGACACATGGACACATGGACACATGAGCACATGAGCACATGAGCACATGGACACATGGGCACATGGGCACATGAGCACATGGACACATGAGCACATGGGCACATGGACACATGGACACATGGACTCATGGACACATGGACACATGGACACATGGGCACATGGGCACATGAGCACATGGACACATGAGCACATGGACACATGAGCACATGAGCACATGAGCACATGGACACATGAGCACATGGACACATGAGCACATGAGCACATGGACACATGGACACATGGACACATGGACACATGAGCACAAGGACACATGAGCACATGGACACATGAGCACATGAGCACATGAGCACATGGACACATGAGCACATGGACACATGAGCACATGAGCACATGGACACATGGACACATGGACACATGGACACATGGACCCATGGACACAAGGACACATGAAGCTCCATTTCTTCTGAATAACTTTTCCATCATTTCTGTTCTTACTAGTTAGCACTCGTTGTTGTTTATTTTTGTTCTTATTTACTGTAGTGACAGTAAGTCAGAGAGTTTTTCTTTAACACACATGGTTTGAATCCAGACAAACTGCTCTGGGCCAGACCTCGGTTCATTTAGACACAAACGCTCACAACACGTCATAAATAACAGGAAGAATGTCCCCGACTTCCTGTCTCATTAAAGCAACGTGTGACGCAGTGTGTGTGTCACCATGTGTGTGTGACCATGTGTGTGTCACCATGTGTGTGTGCCCATGTGTGTGTCACCATGTGTGTGTGACCATGTGTGTGTCACCATGTGTGTGTGACCATGTGTGTGTCACCATGTGTGTGTGACCATGTGTGTACACAACACCATGTGTGTGTCACCATGTGTGTGTGACTATGTGTGTGTCACCATGTGTGTGTCACCATGTGTGTGTGACCATGTGTGTGTCACCATGTGTGTGTGCCCATGTGTGTGTCACCATGTGTGTGTGACCATGAGTGTGTCACCATGTGTGTGTGACCATGTGTGTAAGGCAAGGCAAGGCAAGGCAAGTTTATTTATATAGCACAATTCATACACAAGGCAATTCAAAGTGCTGAACAAAACAAGAAAGCATTAAAATCATAAATTATCACAGAACATTAAAAAGAAAGATAAAAATATAAAATCCCTCAGTTGTATGCACAGTTAAACAGAACCGTCTTTAACCTGGTTTTAAACATTGTCAGAGAGGAGGCCTGTCTCACATCTTCAGGAAGACTGTTCCAGATTTTAGCAGCATTAATCTGAAAAGCAGCCTCCCCATGTTTAGTTCTGACTCTACACAACACCATGTGTGTGTCACCATGTGTGTGTGACCATGTGTGTGTCAGCATGTGTGTGTCACCATGTGTGTGTCACCATGTGTGTGTGACCATGTGTGTGTCACCATGTGTGTGTGACCATGTGTGTGTCACCACGTGTGCGCTCATCATGTGTGCGTTCACCATGTGTGTAAACAACACCAAGTGTGTGTCACCATGTGTGTACACGATACCATGTGTGTGTCACCATGAGTGTATCACCATGTGTGTACACAACACCATGTGTGCGCTCACCATGTCTGCGCTCGCTATGCGTGTACACGACACCATGTTTGTGTCACCATGCGTGTGCTCACCATGTGTGCTCTCACCATGTGTACACGACACCATGTGTGTGTTTGGAGAGGGCTTCTTGTTCACGCCATAATGTGGTCAATGACTAACATAGATTTTAGCGTCTAAAAGTGCGGACTCAGCTCCACTTTGACAGATTTTCTAAGAAGAAGCAGAAGAATGTTTTAAGGTGGAGTGATGCAGATGTTTTAAGGTGGAGTGATGCAGATGTTTTAAGGTGGAGTGATGCAGATGTTTTAAGGTGGAGTGATGCAGATGTTTTAAGGTGGAGTGATGCAGATGTTTTAAGGTGGAGTCATGCAGATGTTTTAAGGTGGAGTGATGCAGATGTTTTAAGGCCGAGTCATGCAGATGTTTTAAGGTGGAGTGATGCAGATGTTTTAAGGTGGAGTGATGCAGATTCAAGTGTGGATCACATGTTCATGTTTCCAATAAGTAAACTATTCATTTCTGAAAACAATGTTTAAATTAATGCTATTCTTAATTCCATGATAAAGCTTTTACATTTAGAGAACCACCACCACAATAAAGGACAATAAATATAATATATAATAACAATATATAAGAGGCCCTGTGGGACATCATTAATATCTATTTTAAATGCATTAAAATAAATGAATAAAACAATATTCATACTGAAACTGAACTTATTAGTGAAACATTTATTATTAGAAGAAGTTGTAGGTGGTCCTTTTTGCTTTACCACAGTTTATTTATATATATACACATATATATATACACACAGCGTGGGACAGTCTATATATATATATATATATATATATATATACACATATATATATATACACATATATATATACACACAGCGTGGGACTTTAACGAGCACTGTCCCTGCTGCATCTGTTCAGGTAAATAGATCTCTAAACTAAACCGATGTAATGAAAACAAAACAACAGCCAGAGTCTGACTCAGTTTCACCAAAGTTCATCTGTGTCTGACCTTTGACCCCGCAGAACACATTTTAAATCTCTTTGGAAAAAGTAGGAACTTATCTGTCAGCACCTCCCTCTCTGTGCACCTCCCTCTCTGTGCGCCTCCCTCTCTGTCCGCCTCCATCTCTGTCAGCACCTCCCTCTCTGTGCACCTCCCTCTCTGTGCACCTCTCTCTCTGTGCACCTCCCTCTCTGTGCACCTCCCTCTCTGTGCAGCTCCCTCTCTGTGCACCTCTCTCTCTGTGCGCCTCCCTCTCTGTCAGCACCTCCCTCTCTGTGCACCTCCCTCTCTGTGCGCCTCCCTCTCTGTCAGCACCTCCCTCTCTGTGCACCTCCCTCTCTGTGCGCCTCCCTCTCTGTCAGCACCTCCCTCTCTGTGCACCTCCCTCTCTGTGCGCCTCCCTCTCGTCAGCACCTCCCTCTCTGTGCGCCTCCCTCTCTGTCAGCACCTCCCTCTCTGTGCACCTCCCTCTCTGTGCGCCTCCTCTCTGTCAGCACCTCCCTCTCTGTGCACCTCCCACTCTGTGCACCTCCCTCTCTGTGCGCCTCCCTCTCTGTCAGCACCTCCCTCTCTGTGCACCTCCCTCTCTGTGCGCCTCCCTCTCTGTCAGCACCTCCCTCTCTGTGCGCCTCCCTCTCTGTCAGCACCTCCCTCTCTGTGCACCTCCCTCTCTGTGCGCCTCCCTCTCTGTCAGCACCTCCCTCTCTGTGCACCTCCCTCTCTGTGCACCTCCCTCTCTGTCAGCACCTCCCTCTCTGTGCACCTCCCTCTCTGTCAGCACCTCCCTCTCTGTCAGCACCTCCCTCTCTGTGCACCTCCCTCTCTGTGCGCCTCCCTCTCTGTCAGCACCTCCCTATCTGTGCACCTCCCTCTCTGTCAGCACCTCCCTCTCTGTGCACCTCCCTCTCTGTCAGCACCTCCCTCTCTGTGCACCTCCCTCTCTGTCAGCACCTCTCTCTCTGTCAGCACCTCCCTCTCTGTGCGCCTCCCTCTCTGTGCGCCTCCCTCTCTGTGCGCCTCCCTCTCTGTGCACCTCCCTCTCTGTCAAAGGAAGTAGGCCAAAGACTTTAGGGTTTTTCTAAATAAAGGGCAGTTTAGAATCCCCCATCTCCACGGACAGAGCCATGATATGTCCGTCCCAGAATATGAAAATACATTTTAGAACTAAGCCCCTTTAATCTTCTCCATCTGCAAACTTTAACAATATGAATGTTTGCAAAGAATACATCGATCACACAAATCTATTTCCTCCTCTGAAGATGAGCAATAAAACCAGGCAAAGAGGCCACAGTACGAAAGCTGAGAGTGGGTGGCGTTCCCATTGTGGCGGTCAGACTCAGGGTGGCGTTCCCATTGTGGCGGTCAGACTCAGGGTGGCGTTCCCATTGTGGCGGTCAGACTCAGGGTGGCGTTCCCATTGTAGCGGTCAGACTCAGGGTGGCGTTCCCATTGTAGCGGTCAGACTCAGGGTGGCGTTCCCATTGTGGCGGTCAGACTCAGGGTGGCGTTCCCATTGTGGCGGTCAGACTCAGGGTGGCGTTCCCATTGTAGCGGTCAGACTCAGGGTGGCGTTCCCATTGTGGTGGTCAGACTCAGGGTGGCGTTCCCATTGTGGCGGTCAGACTCAGGGTGGCGTTCCCATTGTGGCGGTCAGACTCAGGGTGGCGTTCCCATTGTCGCGGTCAGACTCAGGGTGGCGTTCCCATTGTGGCGGTCAGACTCAGGGTGGCGTTCCCATTGTGGCGGTCAGACTCAGGGTGGCGTTCCCATTGTCGCGGTCAGACTCAGGGTGGCGTTCCCATTGTGGCGGTCAGACTCAGGGTGGCGTTCCCATTGTGGCGGTCAGACTCAGGGTGGCGTTCCCATTGTCGCGGTCAGACTCAGGGTGGCGTTCCCATTGTGGCGGTCAGACTCAGGGTGGTGTTCCCATTGTCGCGGTCAAACTCAGGGTGGCGTTCCCATTGTGGCGGTCAGACTCAGGGTGGCGTTCCCATTGTGGCGGTCAGACTCAGGGTGGCGTTCCCATTGTGGCGGTCAGACTCAGGGTGGCGTTCCCATTGTGGCGGTCAGACTCAGGGTGGTGTTCCCATTGTCGCGGTCAGACTCAGGGTGGCGTTCCCATTGTGGCGGTCAGACTCAGGGTGGCGTTCCCATTGTGGCGGTCAGACTCAGGGTGGCGTTCCCATTGTGGCGGTCAGACTCAGGGTGGCGTTCCCATTGTGGCGGTCAGACTCAGGGTGGCGTTCCCATTGTGGCGGTCAGACTCAGGGTGGCGTTCCCATTGTGGCGGTCAGACTCAGGGTGGCGTTCCCATTGTCGCGGTCAGACTCAGGGTGGCGTTCCCATTGTGGCGGTCAGACTCAGGGTGGCGTTCCCATTGTGGCGGTCAGACTCAGGGTGGCGTTCCCATTGTCGCGGTCAGACTCAGGGTGGCGTTCCCATTGTGGCGGTCAGACTCAGGGTGGCGTTCCCATTGTGGCGGTCAGACTCAGGGTGGTGTTCCCATTGTGGCGGTCAGACTCAGGGGGTGTTCCCATTGTGGCGGTCAGACTCAGGGTGGCGTTCCCATTGTGGCGGTCAGACTCAGGGTGGCGTTCCCATTGTGGCGGTCAGACTCAGGGTGGCGTTCCCATTGTGGCGGTCAGACTCAGGGTGGCGTTCCCATTGTGGCGGTCAGACTCAGGGTGGTGTTCCCATTGTCGCGGTCAGACTCAGGGTGGCGTTCCCATTGTGGCGGTCAGACTCAGGGTGGCGTTCCCATTGTGGCGGTCAGACTCAGGGTGGCGTTCCCATTGTGGCGGTCAGACTCAGGGTGGCGTTCCCATTGTGGCGGTCAGACTCAGGGTGGCGTTCCCATTGTGGCGGTCAGACTCAGGGTGGCGTTCCCATTGTGGCGGTCAGACTCAGGGTGGCGTTCCCATTGTCGCGGTCAGACTCAGGGTGGCGTTCCCATTGTGGCGGTCAGACCTGGTGGCGTTCCCATTGTGGCGGTCAGACTCAGGGTGGCGTTCCCATTGTCGCGGTCAGACTCAGGGTGGCGTTCCCATTGTGGCGGTCAGACTCAGGGTGGCGTTCCCATTGTGGCGGTCAGACTCAGGGTGGCGTTCCCATTGTGGCGGTCAGACTCAGGGTGGCGTTCCCATTGTGGCGGTCAGACTCAGGGTGGCGTTCCCATTGTGGCGGTCAGACTCAGGGTGGCGTTCCCATTGTGGCGGTCAGACTCAGGGTGGCGTTCCCATTGCCGCGGTCAGACTCAGGGTGGCGTTCCCATTGTGGCGGTCAGACTCAGGGTGGCGTTCCCATTGCGCGGTCAGACTCAGGGTGGCGTTCCCATTGTGGCGGTCAGACTCAGGGTGGCGTTCCCATTGTGGCGGTCAGACTCAGGGTGGCGTTCCCATTGTCGCGGTCAGACTCAGGGTGGCGTTCCCATTGTGGCGGTCAGACTCAGGGTGGTGTTCCCATTGCGCGGTCAGACTCAGGGTGGCGTTCCCATTGTGGCGGTCAGACTCAGGGTGGCGTTCCCATTGTGGCGGTCAGACTCAGGGTGGCGTTCCCATTGTGGCGGTCAGACTCAGGGTGGCGTTCCCATTGTGGCGGTCAGACTCAGGGTGTAAGTAAGTAAGTAAGTAAGTAAATTTTATTTATAGAGCACCTTTCACAGATAAAAATCACAAAGTGCTGTACAGGGTAAAAGCAAATAAGTAAATACAATGGAAATAAGACAACAACAAAAACAAAAAAAAAAAAAAAAAAAAAAAAAAAAAAAAAAAAAAAAAAAAAAAAAAGAAACTAACTAAAAGCTGCCCTAAAAAGAAGTGTCTTTAGTCCCTTTTTAAAAGCATCGACAGAGTTGACCACACGGAGGGACAGAGGCAGAGCGTTCCACAGTCTGGGGGCAACGGACTGGAAGGACCGGTCCCCCCGGGTCTTATAGCGGGTCTTTGGGACCGCAAGTAAATTCTGGCCCGTGGACCTGAGAGTGCGGCCAGAATAGTGTGGGGTCAAGAGGTCCGAGATATAAACGGGAGCCTGACCATTTAAGGCTCTGAAAGTTAAAACCAAAATTTTAAAATCAATACGTAAATTGATTGGGAGCCAATGAAGTGAGGACAGGACTGGGGTGATGTGAGACCACCGGGGGCTTCCTGTTAAAAGTCTGGCAGCGGAGTTTTGCACAATTTGTAGTCTGTTAAGAGCACTCTTATTAAGACAAGTAAACAATGAATTGCAATAGTCAAGACGTGTGGAAACAAAGGCATGAAGGAGCATCTCCAAGTCCTTCTGCGACAATATTTTCCGGATTTTAGATATGTTTCTGAGATGATAAAAGCAGTTTCTGACGAGCTGTTTGCAGTGTGTGTCCAGATTTAGGGCCTGATCAAAAACAACCCCCAGGTTTCTGAGGGGGGATGTGACAGAGGAACCAAGTGAACCAAGGTGCTGTTTGATGTCTTGAATCTTATTGTCAGGAGCAAAAATCAGGGTTTCGGTCTTGTTAGAATTAAGCTGCAGATAATTTGTGGTTAACCAGCCTTTGATCTCGGACACACACTCTAAGAACTGGGAGATAAGGTGAAATTCAGTGTCTTTAAAAGAGCAATACAGTTGGACGTCATCAGCATAGAGATGATAAGATACATTCTTAAAACGATCGATAATTTTCCCAAGAGGTAAGAGGTATAATAAAAACAATAAAGGGCCCAGAACAGACCCTTGGGCAACACCATAAGAAAGTTGAGACACATCAGACACAATATCATTCACTGCAACATTGAAAGTTCTTCCACAAATATATGATGTGAACCATTTAAGGACACAACCAGAGAAACCCATCGTCTTTTCAAGGCGATTTATCATAATACTGTGATCCACAGTGTCAAAAGCAGAGGTCAGATCTAGCAAAACCAATATTGTATAGCGACCAGAATCTGCCGCCATCAACACGTCGTTAGAAACTTTAACAAGTGCAGTTTCTGTGGAGTGCAACTTTCGAAAACCAGACTGAAAAGAGTCAAACAGATTGTGTTGCTCCATGAATGTGGTTAGCTGGTTTGCAACAACTTTCTCCAAGATTTTAGCAACAAACGGGAGTTTCGATATAGGTCTGTAGTTTTTTGGCTCTGAGGGGTCAAGATTGGGCTTTTTCAGAGTGGGGCTTACAACAGCATGTTTAAAATAGCTGGGGACAGTGCCAGACTCTAAGGATAGATTAAACAGTTGCACCAGACAGGGGCCAAAGACTTCAAGCTTTTTTAAAAGCAAGGATGTAGGAATAATATCAGCAGGACTCGATGATAGTTTCATTTTGCTCACGACAGCCTCCATCTCCTGTAGGCTGACTGGAGTAAAGGCTGACCAGGAGCACACCTGAGTGACCTCAGACGCACAGACATCAATAAGTGACGGGTTGGTGTTCCCATTGTCGCGGTCAGACTCAGGGTGGCGTTCCCATTGTGGCGGTCAGACTCAGGGTGGCGTTCCCATTGTGGCGGTCAGACTCAGGGTGGCGTTCCCATTGTAGCGGTCAGACTCAGGGTGGCGTTCCCATTGTGGCGGTCAGACTCAGGGTGGCGTTCCCATTGTGGCGGTCAGACTCAGGGTGGCGTTCCCATTGTGGCGGTCAGACTCAGGGTGGCGTTCCCATTGTGGCGGTCAGACTCAGGGTGGCATTCCCATTGTGGCGGTCAGACTCAGGGTGGCGTTCCCATTGCCGCGGTCAGACTCAGGGTGGCGTTCCCATTGTGGCGGTCAGACTCAGGGTGGCGTTCCCATTGTAGCGGTCAGACTCAGGGTGGCGTTCCCATTGTGGCGGTCAGACTGAGGGTGGCGTTCCCATTGTGGCGGTCAGACTCAGGGTGGCGTTCCCATTGTGGCGGTCAGACTCAGGGTGGCGTTCCCATTGTGGCGGTCAGACTCAGGGTGGCGTTCCCATTGCCGCGGTCAGACTCAGGGTGGCGTTCCCATTGTGGCGGTCAGACTCAGGGTGGCGTTCCCATTGTGGCGGTCAGACTCAGGGTGGCGTTCCCATTGTCGCGGTCAGACTCAGGGTGGCGTTCCCATTGTGGCGGTCAGACTCAGGGTGGCGTTCCCATTGTGGCGGTCAGACTCAGGGTGGCGTTCCCATTGTAGCGGTCAGACTCAGGGTGGCGTTCCCATTGTGGCGGTCAGACTCAGGGTGGCGTTCCCATTGTAGCGGTCAGACTCAGGGTGGCGTTCCCATTGTGGCGGTCAGACTCAGGGTGGCGTTCCCATTGTGGCGGTCAGACTCAGGGTGGCGTTCCCATTGTGGCGGTCAGACTCAGGGTGGCGTTCCCATTGCTGCGGTCAGACTCAGGGTGGCGTTCCCATTGTGGCGGTCAGACTCAGGGTGGCGTTCCCATTGCCGCGGTCAGACTCAGGGTGGTGTTCCCATTGTGGCGGTCAGACTCAGGGTGGCGTTCCCATTGTCGCGGTCAGACTCAGGGTGGCGTTCCCATTGTGGCGGTCAGACTCAGGGTGGCGTTCCCATTGTGGCGGTCAGACTCAGGGTGGCGTTCCCATTGTGGCGGTCAGACTCAGGGTGGCGTTCCCATTGTGGCGGTCAGACTCAGGGTGGCGTTCCCATTGTGGCGGTCAGACTCAGGGTGGCGTTCCCATTGTGGCGGTCAGACTCAGGGTGGCGTTCCCATTGTGGCGGTCAGACTCAGGGTGGCGTTCCCATTGTGGCGGTCAGACTCAGGGTGGCGTTCCCATTGTGGCGGTCAGACTCAGGGTGGCGTTCCCATTGTGGCGGTCAGACTCAGGGTGGCGTTCCCATTGTGGCGGTCAGACTCAGGGTGGCGTTCCCATTGTAGCGGTCAGACTCAGGGTGGCGTTCCCATTGTGGCGGTCAGACTCAGGGTGGCGTTCCCATTGTGGCGGTCAAACTCAGGGTGGCGTTCCCATTGTGGCGGTCAGACTCAGGGTGGCGTTCCCATTGTGGCGGTCAGACTCAGGGTGGCGTTCCCATTGTGGCGGTCAGACTCAGGGTGGCGTTCCCATTGTGGCGGTCAGACTCAGGGTGGCGTTCCCATTGTGGCGGTCAGACTCAGGGTGGCGTTCCCATTGTGGCGGTCAGACTCAGGGTGGCGTTCCCATTGTGGCGGTCAGACTCAGGGTGGCGTTCCCATTGTGGCGGTCAGACTCAGGGTGGCGTTCCCATTGTGGCGGTCAGACTCAGGGTGGCGTTCCCATTGTGGCGGTCAGACTCAGGGTGGCGTTCCCATTGCTGCGGTCAGACTCAGGGTGGCGTTCCCATTGTGGCGGTCAGACTCAGGGTGGCGTTCCCATTGCCGCGGTCAGACTCAGGGTGGCGTTCCCATTGTGGCGATCAGACTCAGGGTGGCGTTCCCATTGTGGCGGTCAGACTCAGGGTGGCGTTCCCATTGCCGCGGTCAGACTCAGGGTGGCGTTCCCATTGTGGCGGTCAGACTCAGGGTGGTGTTCCCATTGTGGCGGTCAGACTCAGGGTGGCGTTCCCATTGTGGCGGTCAGACTCAGGGTGGCGTTCCCATTGCCGCGGTCAGACTCAGGGTGGCGTTCCCATTGTGGCGGTCAGACTCAGGGTGGTGTTCCCATTGTGGCGGTCAGACTCAGGGTGGCGTTCCCATTGTCGCGGTCAGACTCAGGGTGGCGTTCCCATTGTGGCGGTCAGACTCAGGGTGGCGTTCCCATTGTGGCGGTCAGACTCAGGGTGGCGTTCCCATTGTGGCGGTCAGACTCAGGGTGGCGTTCCCATTGTGGCGGTCAGACTCAGGGTGGCGTTCCCATTGTGGCGGTCAGACTCAGGGTGGCGTTCCCATTGTGGCGGTCAGACTCAGGGTGGCGTTCCCATTGCCGCGGTCAGACTCAGGGTGGCGTTCCCATTGTGGCGGTCAGACTCAGGGTGGCGTTCCCATTGTGGCGGTCAGACTCAGGGTGGCGTTCCCATTGTCGCGGTCAGACTCAGGGTGGCGTTCCCATTGTGGCGGTCAGACTCAGGGTGGTGTTCCCATTGTCGCGGTCAGACTCAGGGTGGCGTTCCCATTGTGGCGGTCAGACTCAGGGTGGCGTTCCCATTGTGGCGGTCAGACTCAGGGTGGCGTTCCCATTGTGGCGGTCAGACTCAGGGTGGCGTTCCCATTGTGGCGGTCAGACTCAGGGTGGTGTTCCCATTGTCGCGGTCAGACTCAGGGTGGCGTTCCCATTGTGGCGGTCAGACTCAGGGTGGCGTTCCCATTGTGGCGGTCAGACTCAGGGTGGCGTTCCCATTGTAGCGGTCAGACTCAGGGTGGCGTTCCCATTGTGGCGGTCAGACTCAGGGTGGCGTTCCCATTGTGGCGGTCAGACTCAGGGTGGCGTTCCCATTGTGGCGGTCAGACTCAGGGTGGCGTTCCCATTGTGGCGGTCAGACTCAGGGTGGCATTCCCATTGTGGCGGTCAGACTCAGGGTGGCGTTCCCATTGCCGCGGTCAGACTCAGGGTGGCGTTCCCATTGTGGCGGTCAGACTCAGGGTGGCGTTCCCATTGTAGCGGTCAGACTCAGGGTGGCGTTCCCATTGTGGCGGTCAGACTGAGGGTGGCGTTCCCATTGTGGCGGTCAGACTCAGGGTGGCGTTCCCATTGTGGCGGTCAGACTCAGGGTGGCGTTCCCATTGTGGCGGTCAGACTCAGGGTGGCGTTCCCATTGCCGCGGTCAGACTCAGGGTGGCGTTCCCATTGTGGCGGTCAGACTCAGGGTGGCGTTCCCATTGTGGCGGTCAGACTCAGGGTGGCGTTCCCATTGTCGCGGTCAGACTCAGGGTGGCGTTCCCATTGTGGCGGTCAGACTCAGGGTGGCGTTCCCATTGTGGCGGTCAGACTCAGGGTGGCGTTCCCATTGTAGCGGTCAGACTCAGGGTGGCGTTCCCATTGTGGCAGTCAGACTCAGGGTGGCGTTCCCATTGTAGCGGTCAGACTCAGGGTGGCGTTCCCATTGTGGCGGTCAGACTCAGGGTGGCGTTCCCATTGTGGCGGTCAGACTCAGGGTGGCGTTCCCATTGCTGCGGTCAGACTCAGGGTGGCGTTCCCATTGTGGCGGTCAGACTCAGGGTGGCGTTCCCATTGCCGCGGTCAGACTCAGGGTGGTGTTCCCATTGTGGCGGTCAGACTCAGGGTGGCGTTCCCATTTTCGCGGTCAGACTCAGGGTGGCGTTCCCATTGCCGCGGTCAGACTCAGGGTGGCGTTCCCATTGCCGCGGTCAGACTCAGGGTGGTGTTCCCATTGTGGCGGTCAGACTCAGGGTGGCGTTCCCATTGTGGCGGTCAGACTCAGGGTGGCGTTCCCATTGTGGCGGTCAGACTCAGGGTGGCGTTCCCATTGTGGCGGTCAGACTCAGGGTGGCGTTCCCATTGTGGCGGTCAGACTCAGGGTGGCGTTCCCATTGTGGCGGTCAGACTCAGGGTGGCGTTCCCATTGTGGCGGTCAGACTCAGGGTGGCGTTCCCATTGTGGCGGTCAGACTCAGGGTGGCGTTCCCATTGTGGCGGTCAGACTCAGGGTGGCGTTCCCATTGTGGCGGTCAGACTCAGGGTGGCGTTCCCATTGTAGCGGTCAGACTCAGGGTGGCGTTCCCATTGTGGCGGTCAGACTCAGGGTGGCGTTCCCATTGTGGCGGTCAGACTCAGGGTGGCGTTCCCATTGTGGCGGTCAGACTCAGGGTGGCGTTCCCATTGTGGCGGTCAGACTCAGGGTGGCGTTCCCATTGTGGCGGTCAGACTCAGGGTGGCGTTCCCATTGTGGCGGTCAGACTCAGGGTGGCGTTCCCATTGTGGCGGTCAGACTCAGGGTGGCGTTCCCATTGTAGCGGTCAGACTCAGGGTGGCGTTCCCATTGTGGCGGTCAGACTCAGGGTGGCGTTCCCATTGTGGCGGTCAGACTCAGGGTGGCGTTCCCATTGTGGCGGTCAGACTCAGGGTGGCGTTCCCATTGTGGCGGTCAGACTCAGGGTGGCGTTCCCATTGTGGCGGTCAGACTCAGGGTGGCGTTCCCATTGTGGCGGTCAGACTCAGGGTGGCGTTCCCATTGTGGCGGTCAGACTCAGGGTGGCGTTCCCATTGTGGCGGTCAGACTCAGGGTGGCGTTCCCATTGTGGCGGTCAGACTCAGGGTGGCGTTCCCATTGTGGCGGTCAGACTCAGGGTGGCGTTCCCATTGTGGCGGTCAGACTCAGGGTGGCGTTCCCATTGTGGCGGTCAGACTCAGGGTGGCGTTCCCATTGTGGCGGTCAGAGGAGCACGGCGAGTGTTGTAATTGGCTGTGGGTGGATTAGGAGGTGCTCAGTGCTGACAAACACAGACCTGTTGTTAGACCTGAGCTCTCACTCTGGACATGGTTAAATATATTATTGTTAAACAGCCAATAATCACACACCTGCAATCTCCAAACAAGATACAACAGAGATACGCACTAAAAATGGATCAATAACATGTTTTATTAACAATTATCAGGACAGAGTTACCCAAAGAATACAGTGAATAATCAAAAAGAATCAATGGCCATGCTCTAGTTGTATAATTCCATCGCAATATCAGGATTAATATTCACGGTCAATGACGTTTATGATGACAATTTAACCATATTTCCCTATAATTCAGTAAAACTTTTTCCTGAATGACGAGGCACACAATAGAACCATGTGTTTTCGAGCATTATGTGTGTCTTGAAGTTGGAACGTCACTGAGCCGTGCACAATTAAAATCTTCTTTCCACTGGGTCTTTACATGAGGCTGTAAATTTAACTTGGCGTTCCTTTATGGAGCAGGTGTGAGGGATTAGACCGGGGGGGGGGGGGGGTCGGGGGGGGGGGGTCTACCAACTCTACATGACAGACATTTGAACCCACGTGATCATTTATGCAGCTTAAAGAAATGCACTGGACTCTGAAGATGGACATACTACGACTACTAAAACATTATAAATATGAAATAGATGCATTAGTCTGAGTCCAACAGCCAGGACATAAGGGTTCATATTCAACTGGCACCTTTAAACCTTTTATCCTGGGTTTTTCTTCAGGGCTTCTAGAATCTGGGTGCTGTGCCATGTAGGACAGTGTCGTGCACGGGTCTCCAACCTTTTTCACACTGAGCTACTTTCTACGATCGAAAATGACAGAGAACGACTCAATTAAAGAAGAAATATGTAAGATTTTCATGTCAAGTGTCATCATTAAAGGGCCCTAATCTGTCATCATTAAAGGGCCTTAATATGTCATCATTAAAGGGCCCTGATATGTCATTAAAGGGCCCTAATCTGTCTTCATTAAAGGGCCCTAATCTGTCATCATTAAAGGGCCATAATCTGTCATCATTAAAGAGCCCTAATCTGTCATCATTAAAGGGCCATAATCTGTCATCATTAAAGAGCCCTAATCTGTCATCATTAAAGGGCCCTAATCTGTCATCATTAAAGAGCCCTAATCTGTCATCACTAAAGGGCCCTAATCTGTCATCATTAAAGGGCCCTAATCTGTCATCATTAAAGGGCCCTAATCTGTCATCATTAAAGGGCCCTAATATGTCATCATTAAAGGGCCCTGATATGTCATTAAAGGGCCCTAATCTGTCTTCATTAAAGGGCCCTAATCTGTCATAATTAAAGGGCCATAATCTGTCTTCATTAAAGGGCCCTAATCTGTCATCATTAAAGAGCCCTAATCTGTCATCAATAAAGGGCCCTAATCTGTCATCATTAAAGGGCCCTAATCTGTCATCATTAAAGAGCCCTAATCTGTCATCACTAAAGGGCCCTAATCTGTCATCATTAAAGGGCTCTATTCTGTCATCATTAAAGAGCCTTAATCTGTCTTCATTAAAGGGCCCTAATCTGTCATCATTAAAGGGCCCTATTCTGTCATCATTAAAGGGCCATAATCTGTCTTCATTAAAGGGCCCTAATCTGTCATCTTTAAAAGGCCCTAATCTGTCACAATAATAATCTGTTCTTTTCCAATCCTTCTTTAACTGATAACAGTAGTTCAGGGATATTTGAATTTATAAATTACTTTTCCAGCCTCTAAATCTTGTTTTCATTTTGATGTCCGCCGTTTCACCAATCAGAAAGTCTGTGATCCGGGCGCAACTATTGTCTATCTATTCAGCTGTTATAGTCCCAGCTGGATTCGTCTGCATATCTGGCAACCTGAGTCAGGGAGAGTGGGAGAGGCTGCAGTACCACTGAATAGACAAGAGTTTTGTCAACAACAAATCTATAACCAACAACTTTTTCACAAAGATAGAAATCCTGGTTTTATTCCTTGTTTTGTCGTTAATGATTTGAGAATCATAACGAGACCTTTTTTAGTTCTGCGCCACATGGTACTTTACCAGTGAGATTAGCTCCACGCGGTGAGTTCTAGCGCCCGGATCACAGACTTTCTGATTGGTGAAACGGTGGAGGCTGTAATACTAATTATTATGACAGATTAAGGCCCTTTAATGATGACAGATTATTTATAAAACAAAGGAAACCAAAACAAGTTTGGTTCTTAAAGGTCCTTTTTGCATCATTCAACAAACCCGTCTTGGTTTAAGTGTCAGAGCCCTCAGCCGCCTCTGTGCTGCGGGACATGTGTTCACTGCTAAAGCCAAGGCCACGATGGGTTTGAGACCCGGGTGTGATCCAGCTTTCAGCAGGCCTGTTCCTGGGATTACCCTCTGTTCTGTGCACTACAATAGCATGTTGTTTTATCAGAGTAATCAGTCAAACACTCGCTCACTGACGGCTTCACAAATGTCACCATGAAATCTGTGCAAGTCCCTGGCCCCTGCCCAGACCCTGCCCAGACCCCGCCCAGACCCAGCCCAGACCCAGCCCAGACCCCGCCCAGACCCAGCCCAGACCCAGCCCAGACCCCGCCCATACCCAGCCCAGACCCCGCCCAGACCCCGCCCAGACCCAGCCCAGACCCTGCAGGTGAGGTCCAGCCGGGAACGCATGCAGCTGCCCCTCTCAAACCGCATTCACACACGCACCGGCAGCTCAAGCTTCTGCAGATTGATGGTGTCAATGTGTGTGTGTGTGTGTGTGTGTGTGCGTGTGCGTGTGCGTGTGCGTGTGCGTGTGCGTGTGCGTGTGTGTGTGTGTGTGTGTGGGTCCCGAACACAGACCAGCTTTAGCACTGCCGACACGCTCAGCTCACAGTTCTAGTAACATTTTACGTGACAAGCATTATAAAGGTGATTTATCGGCCGCATGAGTGTAAGATGAATATTTTCCAGAATATGGAGTTGGGAGTAAGAAGTATGAAGTCTGTCTTTCTGAACGTGTGTGTGGGTTGTTCACGTTGTCGCTACGTTAAGTGTTAGACAAACTTCCTGTGAAAATAATGAGCATGTCGAATGGGAAAATCCAGATGCCCTGTGAGAAGGACCGGAGCATGTGTCTGTAAGCACACACACACACACACAGACACACACGCGCACACAGACACACACACACACACACACACACGCACGTTGTTTTATGGCACGTCCTCTGCATGAGCCTGACCTTCACTTTTGTTTGGTATAAACTTGGTCTAATCACAACAAAACTGAAGCCAGCCCTTTACCCTGTCGTATAATGTCTAAATGCAAACACAAAAATGACCTTTATGACAGAAAATATGGCACAGAACAAAACATGTAGAATTTATCTAAAAGTAGAATTGAGGCTCATTTCAACAAATTTGTCACGGAGGCAAAAGGAACATAACCCGAAATGCAGAACTGCTAAAATAATGGGTTTAATAAAATAAAATACAAATGAAAATCCAGTGACAACACAAAAAGTACCAAGGACAGACAGAAGACAGGAAGTAAAACAGACAAATAACAGACTAATGAGACACAGGTGGGCGGGGACACAGGTGGGCAGGGACACAGGTGGGCGGGGACACAGGTGGGCGGGGACACAGGTGGGCGGGGCATACACAACAGGAAGTACTAACAACCTATACCATGGCAAAATAAATGTTTTTTTATTGTAGTCAGTGGCTAGTTTATGTGTATAGGCAAGAAACAAAAAAAGAAAAGTGGTTTGCAAGAAGGTCCTGGTTCGAATCCCGGTTGGAACAGGGCCTTTCTGAGTGGAGTTTGCATGTTCTCCCCGTGTCTGCATAGGTTTTCTTCTGGGTGCTCTGGTTTCCCCTACCACCAAAACCTCCTCCCACTGCATCTCCTCCCAATGCACCTCCATCCACTGCACCTCCTCCCACTGCATCTCCTCCCACTGCACCTCCTCCCACTGCACCTCCATCCACTGCACCTCCTCCCACTGCACCTCCTCCCACTGCACCTCCTCCCACTGCACCTCCAGCCATTGCACCTCCTCCCACTGCACCTCCAGCCATTGCACCTCCAGCCATTGCACCTCCTCCCACTGCATCTCCTCCCAATGCACCTCCATCCACTGCACCTCCTCCCACTGCGCCTCCTCCCACTGCACCTCCAGCCATTGCACCTCCTCCCACTGCATCTCCTCCCAATGCACCTCCATCCACTGCACCTCCTCCCACTGCGCCTCCTCCCACTGCACCTCCATCCACTGCACCTCCTCCCACTGCACCTCCTCCCACTGCACCTTCTCCCACTGCACCTCCTCCCACTGCATCTCCAGCCACTGCACCTCCTCCCACTGCGCCTCCTCCCACTGCACCTCCATCCACTGCACCTCCTCCCACTGCACCTCCTCCCACTGCACCTTCTCCCACTGCACCTCCTCCCACTGCATCTCCAGCCACTGCACCTCCTCCCACTGCACCTCCTCCCACTGCACCTCCAGCCATTGCACCTCCTCCCACTGCACCTCCAGCCATTGCACCTCCAGCCATTGCACCTCCTCCCACTGCATCTCCTCCCAATGCACCTCCATCCACTGCACCTCCTCCCACTGCGCCTCCTCCCACTGCACCTCCAGCCATTGCACCTCCTCCCACTGCATCTCCTCCCAATGCACCTCCATCCACTGCACCTCCTCCCACTGCGCCTCCTCCCACTGCACCTCCATCCACTGCACCTCCTCCCACTGCACCTCCTCCCACTGCACCTTCTCCCACTGCACCTCCTCCCACTGCATCTCCAGCCACTGCACCTCCTCCCACTGCGCCTCCTCCCACTGCACCTCCATCCACTGCCCCTCCTCCCACTGCACCTCCTCCCACTGCACCTTCTCCCACTGCACCTCCTCCCACTGCATCTCCAGCCACTGCACCTCCTCCCACTGCACCTCCTCCCACTGCACCTCCTCCCACTGCATCTCCAGCCACTGCACACCTCCTCCCACTGCACCTCCTCCCACTGCATCTCCTCCCACTGCACCTCAGCCACTGCACCTACTCCCACTGCATCTTCTCCCACTGCATCTCCTCCCACTGCACTTCCATCCACGCACCTCCCCCACTGCACCTCCAGCCATTGCACCTCCTCCCACTGCATCTCCTCCCAATGCACCTCCATCCACTGCACCTCCTCCCACTGCGCCTCCTCCCACTGCACCTCCATCCACTGCACCTCCTCCCACTACACCTCCTCCCACTGCACCTCCTCCCACTGCACCTCCTCCCACTGCATCTCCAGCCACTGCACCTCCTCCCACTGCACCTCCAGCCACTGCACCTCCTCCCACTGCACCTCCAGCCACTGCACCTCCTCCCACTGCATCTCCTCGCACTGCACCTCCTCCCACTGCATCTCCAGCCACTGCACCTCCTCCCACTGCATCTCCTCGCACTGCACCTCCAGCCACTGCATCTCCTCCCACTGCATCTCCTCCCACTGCACCTCCTCCCACTGCGCCTCCATTGTTCACCTTTCTTGTGCTGTGTGCTCCTCATTCCTAATGTTCTATAACTTGTGATGCAACATTGAAATTTCCCCTCTGTGGAATCTCTTCATCTTAATCTCTGTGGACTCTTTCACCTCCTGGGACCATCATCCCCCAGGACCTCATTGGGAGTCGACCCTCAGCTCCTTCACCATGATGGCCCAGTGAGCAGTGCTCCCCAACCTTTTTGTCATAGCAAAATATCACATGTCACAGCACCAACAGAATCTGATTCTGAATGTAAACTGTACAGCCGTTATCAACAAAGCAAAGTCATCCTCATCATTGTGTTTTATATATATATATATATATATATATATATATATATTAAAAAAAAATTGTCCACTCACCTTTGGCCCTCCACGGGCGGTTATCCCTCTCTAAGCTCGGGTCCTCTACCAGAGGCCTGGGAGCTTGAGGGTTCTGCGCAGTATCTTTGCTGTTCCTAGCACTGCACATTTCTGGACCCAGATGTCCGAGGTTGTTCCAGGGATCCGCTGTAACCACTCATCTAGCTTCGGGGTCACTGCCCCGAGTGCACCGATCACCACGGGCACTACTGTGACCTTTACCCTCCAGGCCCTCTCACTACTGTGACCTTTACCCTCCAGGCCCTCTCCAGCTCCTCTCTGAGACCTTGGTATTTCTCAAGCTTTTCATGTTCTTTTTTCCGGATGTTACCCATTCATCCATCCATTTTCTACACTTTAATCCATTTCTGGGTCAGGGGGGTGGCAGTCAGAGATGCCACCCAAGTCTCATAGCACCAGCCTCTCACTGACCCTCTGCAGGTGGTGAGTCCACAGGAGGACGGCTGCTCTCTGAGTGTGAGCAGAGCCTTGATCTTTCAGTGGGGGCTTTGGGCAAAGTGGGGTTAAGTGTCTTGCCCAAGGACACAACGACAGCAGTCATCAGTGGGAGTCGGTGGAGAAGGTGTAGAGGTGGGAATAGAGGTCCGGATGTTACCATCGCTTGGAATTGCCACGTCCACCACCACGGCTGTCCTCTGCCCTTTGTCTACCACCACTATGTCAGGTTGGTTCGCCATTACCATTCGGTCGGTCTGTATCTGGAAGTCCCACAGGATCTTCGCACGCTCATTCTCCACCACCTTTGGAGGAGTTTCCCACTTAGACCTTGGGGTTTCCAGCCCATACTCTGCACAGATGTTTCTGTACACTATGCAGCCACTTGGTTATGGCGTTCCATGTAGGCCTTCCCTGCCAGCATCTTGCACCCTGCAGTTATGTGTTGGATCGTCTCAGGTGCCTCTTTGCACAACCGACACCTTGGGTCTTGTCTGGTGTGGTATATCTGGGCCTCTATCGCTCTGGTGCTCAGTGCCTGTTCCTGTGCAGCCATGATGAGTGCCTCTGTGCTGTCCTGTAGGCCAGCCCTTTCTAGCCATTGGTAAGACTTCTTGAGATCAGCCACTTCTGTTATGCTCCGGTGGTACATGCCGTGTAGGGGCTTGTTCTCCCATGATGGGCTCTCCTCCAGCACCTCCTCATCTCGCCACTGCCTGAGACATTCACTGAGTACGTCATCCGTTTTGGCCTTCTCCATGATGTAGTTATGGAGTTTGGATGTTTCGTCCTGGACAGTGGCTCTCACACTCACTAGTCCTCGGCCTCCTTCTTTACGGCTTACGTACAGTCTCAGGGTGCTGGATTTGGGATCGAACCCGCCATGCATGGTAAGGAGCTTTCGAGTTTTAACATCCGTGGTCTGGATCTCTTCCTTTGGCCACCTGATTATTCCTGCAGGGTATCTGATCACTGGCAGGGCGTAGCTGTTAATTGCCCGGGCTTTGTTCTTGCCATTGAGCCGGCTTCTTAGGACCTGCCTTACTCGCTGGAGGTATTTGGCAGTTGCCGCTTTCCTCGTCACCTGTTCGAGGTTGCCATTTGCCTGTGGTATACCGAGATACTTGTAACTGTCCTCAACGTCTGCTGTTGTTCCCTCTGGGAGTGAGATCCCTTCTGTGTGGACTACCTTGCCTCTCCGAGTCACCATCCTGCTACATTTCTCGAGCCCGAATGACATCCCGATGTCATGGCTGTAGATCCTGGTTGTTTGGATCAGAGAGTCGATGTCTCTCTCGCTCTTGGCGTACAGCTTGATGTCATCCATGTAGAGGAGGTGACTGATCTTTGCTCCGTTCCTGAGGCGGTATCCATAGCCAGTCTGGTCAATTACTTGGCTTAGAGGGTTGAGGCCTCTGCAGAACAGTAGTGGGGACAGAGCATCTCCTTGGTAGATACCACATTTGATGGTCACTTGTGCGAGTGGCTTGCCATTTGCCTCAAGGGTGGTCTTCCACATTCCCATCGAGTTTGCAACGAAGTCCCTTAGAGCCCTGTTGATATTGTACAACTTCAAGCATTCCATGATCCATGTGTGTGGCATTGAGTCGTAGGCTTTCTGGTAATCAATCCAGGCTGTGCACAGGTTGGTGTGTCGTGACCGGCAGTCTTGGGCGACTGTTCTGTCAACCAGGAGCTGGTGTTTGGCTCCTCTGGTGTCCCTACCAATGCCCTTCTGTGCTGTGCTCATGAATTGTTCCATATGCCCACTTATCTTAGCCGCAATGATGCCTGACATGAGCTTCCATGTTGTGGAGAGACAGGTTATTGGCCGGTAGTTGGAGGGGACTGCACCCTTGACAGGGTCCTTCATGATCAGGACCGTTCGCCCTTCGGTTAGCCATTCTGGGTGAGTCCCATCTCTCAGCAGCTGGTTATTTGTGCTGCTAGGCGCTCATGGAGTGATGTGAGTGTCCTTAGCCAGTAGGCATGGACCATATCAGGGCCAGGTGCTGTCCAGTTTTTCATACCTGAGACTCTTTCTCGGATGTCTGCCTCTGTGATGGTAACTGAGTTCTGTTCTGGGAGGTGGCTGTGCTCCTCTCTCAGGGACACCAGCCATTGTGCACTTCTATTATGTGCTGCATCCTTCTCCCATATGTTCCTCCAGAACTGTTCAGTTTCCAGCCTCGGTGGATCTGCTCCCCTGTTGTTACCCTGCCACTGAGCGTACACCTTCGCAAGTTGTGTTGCGAACAGCCTGTTCACCCTTCTGGCTTCATTCTCTTTAGTGTACCTCTGTAGGCGGCTGGCCAGGGCTTGGAGCCTTTGTTTGGCAGTTTCGAGTGCTTCAGGTATGGTCATCTGGCTGTACTTTCTGGGTACTGGTCTTTTCATTGCACCTCTCTGGGCCTCTGTTAATTTACTCACTTCTTTCCGAGCCGCCTTGATCTTAGCCTCCAACCGTCTTTTCCATGGTGGGTATTGTCCATGGCTCCCATGGTTGCTCTTATAGCCAAGCATCTCTAGGACAGCCGTGGTGGTGGACAAAGGGCAGAGGACAGCCGTGGTGGTGGACAAAGGACAGAGGACAGCCGTGGTGGTGGACAAAGGGCAGAGGACAGCCGTGGGGGTGGACAAAGGGCAGAGGACAGCCGTGGTAGTGGACAAAGGGCAGAGGACAGCCGTGGTGGTGGACAAAGGGCAGAGGACAGCCGTGGTGGTGGACAAAGGGCAGAGGACAGCCGTGGTGGTGGACAAAGGACAGAGGACAGCCGTGGTGGTGGACAAAGGGCAGAGGACAGCCGTGGTGGTAGACAAAGGGCAGAGGACGGACAGCCGTGGTGGTGGACAAAGGGCAGAGGACAGCCGTGGTGGTGGACAAAGGGCAGAGGACAGCCGTGGTGGTGGACAAAGGGCAGAGGACAGCCGTGGTGGTGGACAAAGGACAGAGGACAGCCGTGGTGGTGGACAAAGGGCAGAGGACAGCCGTGGTGGTAGACAAAGGGCAGAGGACAGCCGTGGTGGTGGACAAAGGGCAGAGGACAGCCGTGGTGGTGGACAAAGGGCAGAGGACAGCCGTGGTGGTGGACAAAGGGCAGAGGACAGCCGTGGTGGTGGACAAAGGGCAGAGGACAGCCGTGGTGGTGGACAAAGGGCAGAGGACAGCCGTGGTGGTGGACGTGGCAATTCCAAGCGATGGTTACATCCGGAAAAAAGAACATGAAAAGCTTGAGAAATCCCAAGGTCTCAGAGAGGAGCTGGAGAGGGCCTGGAGGGTAAAGGTCACAGTAGTGCCCGTGGTGATCGGTGCACTCGGGGCAGTGACCCCGAAGCTAGAAGAGGTTACAGCGGATCCCTGGAACAACCTCGGACATCTCGGTCCAGAAATGTGCAGTGCTAGGAACAGCAAAGATACTGCACAGAACCCTCAAGCTCCCTGGCCTCTGGTAGAGGACCCGAGCTTAGAGAGGGATAACCGCCCACGGAGGGCCAAAGGTGCGTAGACAATTAATATTTGTTTGTTTTGTATTTTGTTTTTTTTTGCCACAGCCCACTGGTTGAATAACACTGCCGTACAGGAAGCAATTCCTACGGCAACTTTTCAAAATTCATTTAAACTCATTACTCTAGATCCCATTACTCTTAACCATAAGAACCTGCTCTATTGCATATATTCATATTTTAGAATTTAATGGAAACATACATACTCACATACATACTCACATACTCACATACTCACATACATACTCACATACATACTCACATACATACTTACATACATACTTACATACATACTCACATACATACAGTACATACATACATACATACATACATACATACTCACATACATACTTACATACATACTCACATACATACATACATACATACTTACATACATACTTACGTTACATACATACTCACATACATACATACTCACATACATACTTACATACATACTCACATACATACATACTGACATACATACTCACATACATACATACTTACATACATACATACATATTCACATGCATACAGTACATACATACTCACATATATACATACTCACATACTCACATACATACTTACATACATACTCACATACATACTCAAATACATACTCACATACATACTTACATACATACATACTCACAAACATACATACTCACATACATACTTACATACATACTCACATACATACTCACATACATACATACTCACATACATACTTACATACATACTCACATACATACTCACATACATACTCACATACATACATACTCACATACATACATACTTACATACATACTCACATACATACATACATACATACTCACATACATACATACTCACATACATACTCACATACATACTCACATACATACTCACATACATACATACTTACATACATACTCACATACATACTCACATACATACTCACATACATACATACAGTACATACATACAGTACATACTCACATACATACTCACATACATACATACTCACATACAAACTCACATACTGTACCTGTACATACTTACATACTGCCAACCACTTTTTCTTTGTGAAGCATAAGCTAATGTCTTTGAAGAGACTTTATAGAGCATATGTACCTGTTACCGCTGCTGGCCTCAGCCCGGTTCCGGTCGGGGTCGGTGTATCCGCTCACCTCTCGGCTCGTCACTATCTCTCCATCTCTTTGGCTGAGTGTGAAAACCGGACCTCTCTCATTTAGACTCACCGCGGTCCCAGTCAGAGCTCTTTGTAGTCCGCAGGCCCCGCTCCACAGGACGTCCTGAGCCTGGACTGGTTCCATCTGGGCTTTGGGCTTTATCAGAACCACCTGCCTCAGGGCGACTCTATCTCTAACATCTCTTTCACTTCCAAAGAAAAGAGAAAATACTGGAGGTGTTTCCTGTTGACCCGCAGAGTCTTTCTCCGACTGGAAGAATGTTCTTTCTTATTTTGTCCTCACCACAATTTTCCTTCAATGTTAAGCATGTTCCCAAAGGACACACACTTGACAGTTTAGCAACACAACATCTTTCTAGTTGAACTGGACGCACAGATATGTACATTCTGAACAATCATTAATGCTCTAAGCGTTAGACCGAAGTGTATTTATAAAGTCTGTGTCAGGACTTTGTCAATAGTGAAATCAATTCAAGATGTTTTCTGAATAAGAAGCAGAGAAGCAGCTGGAGGTCTGACAGAACAACTCTGGATTCTAAGATGTAACAGTAATGCAATAGATTCTGGTTTGTTAAGGTCTTATAAAGAGAAAGAAAGAAAAGAAAAATGTATGAAAACGGAATCAAACATATCATTTCTAGTTCCTACTGTTTGCACTCCTGACTTTGTTTTTAATTATAATTATTGATGAGTTTAACAAAAACGGCAACGTCCCAATCCTAGAAACTGGACGTATTCTGCAACACATTCACAAACTCCAGACACAACAGTTTATCAGAGTTAAGGAGGTTTTATTGGATCTATACTTTAAACATTTTAATATTCAGACGATCAGTGATTTACTGTAACGTCATCAATAAAGCTTCAATAACATCTGATGAAAGAAGAACTTTGATCGGTCCAGACAGTTTCATATGTTCCACTTTGACCACGTGTTATTTTCAGTTTAGTATTCAGAGGAAATCACTCTAAGGGCAAAAAAACAAATGTTCTGTTCCACTGAATAAGGACAGCGCTCGATCAACTCGAGATTGATTTTGTTTTTAGAATCCTGGTTTGCAGTTTTGGGTTTCCGTCTTTCAGGTCCAAGTGTTTTTGATCTGCAGAGTTACAGAATCAGAAAAGTATGATTGTGACTTTAAGACTTTACTACGAGAAGGAAATAATATTTAGTGTAATCTGGGGGTGTTCTGAAATACAATGTTAATGTCTTCTATGATCAGAGCTTTTAATTGTATACATGTAAAAGTTTATCTTATCTTTTTAGGCTTTTTAGGCAACGGCGTTCTGCAAAATCTATAATGTGTGTGGAAAAATATATATGTACATAACAAAACACAAATAAATCCACAATTGAGCAGAATTATGAATGCACTAATTATTATTATTATTATTATTATTATTATTATTATTATTAGTATTAGTATTATTAAGTGAATCTATAAAGAACACAGAGGTCCAAACCTCACGGTCGTCACTGCTTCCTTTTCCCTCTCCTGAAGAAACAGTTTATTCCAGAGCGGCCTCTGGAATAAACTCTGAGTAAACTCTGAGAAAAACTCACATTTCTCTGTTTTGTTGATAAAAAACACACATGACTGCTCCACGTCTGCAGAAGAAGACTATTGTACAGTACACTGCTGTATTCAGTGAAATTACTGAAATGATGATTGGGAAAAGAACCCATCTTGTTGGATCGCAGCCAAATTGTGAAATCATGCTTCTCTGCAGCGCATCGCGGGCTCATTACCGCGAGTCTAAAAGAAAACAGGTGTTTCTTATAACGCTGCTCTGATGACGCTCAGATATGATTTTTCATGGTCAGAGCCCTGTGCTCACTGGACGTGCGTGTCACGGACGTGCGTGTCACGGACGTGCGTGTCATGGATGTGCGTGTCGGTCACGGACGTGCGTGTCACGGACGTGCGTGTAATGGAGGCGGATTGGCCCATGATAGAACTAACAAGGGCAAACAAAGCCGGGTCTGAGTGATTACAGTGGGACTCTGTATCTCATCGGGCAGGTGCACCGGGCCGTCCTTCTTTGGCAGAGCACAAACGGCAAAGAAAGTTGATTTTGGAGTAAAACGAAAGCAGCAGCGAAGGGAGAGGGTCTTGGTTGGGTCCACTGAAGTCTAAAGTATGGATTGCGTCAGTGTTTTTGAAGTCTACGGACCGGAGCAGATGTGTCTTTGTTAAGAAGGCATCGCTCTTCTCAGGGAGCATTAAAGCTGCACTAACTGACTTTATTTTTGTATTCATTACGAAAATGCTATCCATGTCCGTGTAGGGCATTGGGATATACGTCCTTTTGACGAAAAAAGTAGCGCAGATTTGTGCTGGCGTGACATTATATTTTAGATCGAGTTTTGATGAAACAAGGAAGAGAATGTGTTTCGGGTCGCGGATTGTGACCAATCACCGCGGACCACTGGCCCCCACTTTTGTGAGAAATGTACAGGTCTCTGTTAGCCTTAGACGGCTAAGTTAGCACAACAAGACGAGGAGCTAACCTGAAGCTTCGTCTCTTCGTCACCGGTTACTGCTTACACAACGAGACAGCCATCCAAAAGAAAGTCTCGTTCCTCCGCGCTTCCCGGTTCTATCGTTCTATGGTCACGCCATCCACGTACAAATCCATGTCCATGTATTATCCATATTGGGAGACGCTAGCTTCGTCCCAACAGTGAGTGTGTGTGGGGGGCGATAGCTTCGTGGGTGCGGGGAGGGGAGCAGAAAGAGAGAGGCCAGCGAGTCCGCGGCTTCAAAATCCCAAAGTCAGTTAGTGCAGCTTTAATAATCGTGTTGTTGCAGTCACTGTGGCCATGAGACTAGAGTCTGACTGGCGTTCACTTCCACATCTATAATCCCACATCTATAATCCCACATCTATAATCCCACTATAGGAGCACCACCAGAGCACGCACATACATCAGTGATAGACATGATGTATTTCTGTGATAAATCCTCACATTCTCCACGAATCTGCAAAACTTCAAAGATCACATTCTATTCAATGTGTCTGTGTTTTTATCTCTATGTTTGGTATTAATCTGTTTTATATATTTTTATTGTTTTATACTTGGTGGAGCTAAGGATAAGTTTCTTGAGCATATATTATAATTGTTTGTGCTGCACTTTGGAAACTTGATAGTTGTTTAAATGTGCTAAATAGATAAAGTGGATTGGATTATCCCAAGATGTTATAAAATAATCAGATACGTACATTAGGTGAGATTATCGAGTCGTATGATGGAAAACCTTAAAATAATCTTGTCTAGCACTTTAACTCATGGACTGCAGCCGTTTTTGATGATTTTACTGATTCTCAAGACCCACAGAATATTATTTCCGATGACTATGTGAAATATGAAGTCAGATTCTGAAAGACTGGATTGTCTACTTTCCTGTTGTCCGTTTATCCGCAGTGGAACAGAGGGTCTCAATACGTCAGTGGCAGTCAGTGAGTTCAAAAGAATCGTTGGTCAGCAGCGACACTAGATTTACTTAAATTAATGTGATGAAAGTGTTGTGTATATAATATCTATAAAACATCATTTATAAGTTGAACCCGTCCCAAACTTAAAGCTTTGATCACATTCATGAAAAAATAGTTCTACAGTTTCTGGTCGGTCGAAAACAAAAGTTTCCTCATTTTCATTTGAGTGGATCTAGTTTCGCTGCTGACCAATGATCTTAGTCGTTTGAAGTGAAGAGTGCGTCGGGAAAAGCCCAAATCCACTGCAGACCAACAAATGAAAACCATTGCGCATGAATCCAATGTTTATTGAGCTTTTATGTGCTTGGCACCAGTATTTACATTTTTTCAAAATGCCTCAAAAAAGGTTTTTCACACAGATTTGTAACAGATTTCCTGTAAAATCAGCTCTTAAATATTTCTCTACGGCACACCAAACATACTTAATACTCTGTTATTGCTTATTTCATTATTCTTCACACAACAACTTTAAGCTTATGTTAATGATTTCATTCTTCATCTTATATTTGTTTACACTGAAATTTCAGACACATTATCCACTCAAACATAAGGAAGTCCGAGAGGAGGGCATGAGTTCACTGAAGACGTTACCCTGTTTGAGTATGAAGAGGATGAAGAGAATGAAGAGGATGAAGAGGAGCATCTGTGTCTGAGGCGGTGCGCTGTAGAACCATCTCCTCGAGTTCCTCTTTAGGTTCACGTCTCTTTAGGTTCACGTCTCTTCAGGTTCACGTCTCTTTAGGTTCACGTCTCTTTAGGTTCACGTCTCTTTAGGTTCACGTCTCTTCAGGTTCACGTCTCTTTAGGTTCACGTCTCTTTAGGTTCACGTCTCTTCAGGTTCACGTCTCAGATGAAAAGTGTTGAGCTCTAAAGCTATTGCACATATTTGATAAAACTGTAGCGTGGTCCTTCAGTGAGGTTTGTGTCTGAGGAGTTTCCAGTTTTACTGTTAAGAAAGTATTTAAATAACATTTTGAATCCATCCATATAACTTTAAGTGTCAGGTCAGAGGTCAGAGGTCGGAAGGGTAAGGCTTAGACCATGTGCATGGACATTTGGGAGGAGGAGCCGTACTGACGGCCGTCGCAGGAGCCGCTGCCTTGTTGTCCCGCGGACGGGTTCCCGATCATGTGCATGGAGTCCATGCTGCCGTTGGACAAGTACTGGCGCTCGGCGAAGGCCCCTGCTGGAGAGGAAGAGCACAACAGCGCCCCCTGGGGCTTCTCTGGGCTGGCGGCGAGGCGTGGGGAGCTGGGGAAGTTGTATCCATACAGATTGTACGGGTTGTGCAGAGAAAAGGCATTATAGGAGCCCTGCTGGACATGGTGGTGGCCTCCACTGAACATGTGTGAGGAAGAGGAGGAGCCTGAGGAGGAAGAAGAGGCTGCGCTGGAGCCCCCTCCTGTCTGCATCACGTACTGCAGCTGAGAGAACTGACCGCTGTAAGCATCCATCTTACCCCCACCTCCTCCGCCACCACTGGCCCCAGGCAGAGAGCTGTGGGAGCTGCCCTGCATCCCGATCAGAGAGGAAGTCCTCTGGGGCAGGAAGGAGTCAGAGGGCTGGGCAGAGGCCACAGCGCCCCCTGCAGCCTGGAGGCGTCCATAAGAAGTGTCAGCCAGCCCTCCGTAGCCCTGCAGAGCGGCCATGTTACTGCGTGCACATGCTGGGTACTCCGTCAGGCCCAGGTTGCACAGCTGGCTCTCCCTGCAGCCCACGTTGAAGGAGTTGTGGCCGAGGTGGAACGCTGGAGGAGAGCAGGACGGGGACAACAGGTGGGCAGCCCCCGAGGGAGATGGGGTCCCGGTGCTGGACGCGGTGGGAGAGGTGCCGGTGCTGCCTCCTGTAACAAACACATTCACATAATGTTTAGAAAATATATTTTCAGTTTAACTTTTCCTCATAAAGTGTGAGACTGAGACATTTCCTGTGGGGGGTGTCTCTGTCAGACCTTTGCCTTCCTGTGGAGGACAGCGGGAAACAAACCGTTTTCCCAACGGGAAAGAATGAGTAGAATGTTCACACCTCAGAGTGTTCGAACTGTGGCAAAAACGCTCTGGACACGGTCAAGAATTCTCTGTTTCATTTGAGTTGCTCTGAAGAAATGCATTACTCACACGCTTTAATGATTCACCAAATCTAATAACCTTTTGTTATGTGTTTATCTCAGAGCCAGAAAATCTCACATAATTGTCCAAAAATGTTTTGCAATAAATGTCATTTCAGTTTACTGTGGGTTCAAATACGACCGAAATGCAGGTCATAAAAATTCTTGCTGGCATATGGAATACAAGTCACAGCTTTTCAAAGTGAAATGATAGCTGTGGAATATCTGGCCCATACTTCTCCATTAATGAGAAATTGGCTCAAGCTCCGCTCAACGCCGCAAAAAATCACTTTGAACGAGGACCGAGAAGAAGGAGGCAGAACTAACTCATCCAGGGCCTGTTTGGCCTCGGAGTTTAGCCATATGCATTCCATAATGTTCTGCTCTGTCCAAGCCGAGCATGGAGAGAGAAGAGTTAGAGAGACAAAGAGTGATGTCATCTCCTGTAGAAACATATCTAATAGCAATAATAATATACCCAATAATATGTTTAATAATATGTCTAATAACAGTAATAATATACCTAATAATAGGTCTAATATTAATAATAATGTACCTAATAATATGTTTAATAATATGTCTAATAACAGTAATAATATACCTAATAATATGTCTAATAACAATAATAATATACCCAATAATATGTTTAATAATATGTCTAATAACAGTAATAATATACCTAATAATATGTTTAATAATATGTCTAATAACAGTAATAATATACCTAATAATATGTCTAATAACAATAATAATATACCCAATATGTTTAATAATATGTCTAATAACAGTAATAATATACCTAATAATATGTCTAATAACAATAATAATATACCTAATAATATGTTTAATAATATGTTTAATAATATGTCTAATAACAGTAATGTGGGGAGAACAACACATACTACTTTCAAAGGTTCAAAGCTCGATCAGTTTGCCCTCTGTTCAAAGATATAAGACAAGGCAAGTTTATCTGTATAGCACAATTCATACACAAGGCAACTCAAAGTGAGGAACAAAGTAAGATCTCTGTGTTTTCAGTGTAAAAAAGTCAGATCTCGGAGACACTTGAGCACGACTAGAGCTCACTGTACACGACATGTGCAGACATGTGTGTGTGTATGTGTGTATCTATGTATGTATATACTGTATGTCTTTCACATATTTGCTGTATATGTTCTTCTACAGCATTGTGCAACAAAAACACAGTCACTTACTGTATATACATGTATATACATGTATATACATGTATATACATAGAACAAACATACAGAATATCATGATGGTAGAACTGTGACAAATGTAAACAATAAAACACACCTCGTCATGAGTGAAGCTGAAACTCATCTGAGAAACATTGTTCAATTTAGGAAAGATTTACAGGAAAAAAAGATAAAGGAATGTATGAAATTAAAAAACAAAAAATACCCTTTTGCATAGAAAATAAAGACAGGGTGAAATCCGAGGCACTCTGAGAAAAGTCCTTTAATGCAGAATGGTCCATTCTGCAAAAAGGGTATTTTTTGTTTTTCAATATCTTTTCTCTTCCTGAAGAGCACCTGATCTCCAATACTTTTTTTGGACCCTGTAGCACTCATTCCTCCTGTTCTGAATGTATGAAATTAGTTTGACAAATATGATTTTGAACTAGTTCAACAGTTTTGTTTGTGACGACCAAAGCGAGGACAATTGCAATTGTTATTATTTTTGGGCATTTGTCTCTCACTCCTCACAGAGATGGGCGGGGCCAGTACGGGAGGCACATGCCAGAACTATTGGACATATTTTTAGTGGTAGGGAAAACCGGAGTACCCGGAGGAAACCTACGCAGACACGGGGAGAACATGCAAACCCAGGACTTTCTTGCTGAGAGGCAAGAGTACTATCCACTCAGCCACCGTGCCGTGTAATAGTTTTGAGAAGTTTAAATTTGAGGAATGCACCAAAGCCACTGAGAAAAACTGTAACTCCGCACTCTTCTCCTCTTCACGTCTTTGAAGCGAGGCCAGGCTCTCACGAAGGACACCAGAGATGCACGGGGAGAGTATGCAACAAGCTCAGTCTGGGAAGCGAGCCACAAGGTCATTTATAGAAACCATTCTTTTCTTTTTGATAATTTTAAACACATTTCAAAATTCAAAAACTGGATTTGTTTTATGGTTATTGCGGAGGCTCAGAAGTGCACGGCTTGTAAAAACGCAGATCTGAGGCAGCGGGAGTTCACCAGGACCAGCTCTTTCTGAAGCCACTTTACTGCATTTACTATTTTTAGATTTCCCGGCACCAAGCACTGGACTCAGCACCGGGCCCTGCTTCCACACAAGTATGACTCTAGTTCTTTAATAATGTTCACTGAAAATTGAACAATCATTTAAATACTGTATTTTGTTATTATTGAGTCACTCTATAATAACAAAGGTTCTGCTGGATATGAAGGAGGACAAAAGTACCTCACTCTTAGATACATAGATAGATAGATAGATAGATAGATACAGTAGATAGATACAGTAGATAGAAAGATAGATAGATAGATAGATAGATAGATAGATAGATACAGTAGATAGATACAGTAGATAGATACAGTAGATAGATAGATAGATAGATACAGTAGATAGATACAGTAGATAGATAGATACAGTAGATAGATACAGTAGATAGATAGATAGATAGATAGATAGATACAGTAGATAGATAGATAGATAGATAGATGATAGATAGGTAGGTAGATGGATAGATATGGATAAATAGATAGATAGATAGATTATTAATGTATATCACTACTAATATAATATACAGTAAGTATATTTTTTTCAACATAAACATATTTAAAATAGTTCTTCCTTTTTGGCATAAATATCACCGTAAGATGTTCTGGAGGAGTTTAACCAAGCCCCGGCGATCCAAGATGGCGCCCTATTCAAATGAATGGTCGTGCTCAGTGGCGCTTTGTGACGGCATGGGGGCTGAAAGATTAGTGGAAGTCGCCTGGAACTCTCAAAGATCTATGGGAAACTCTCAAAGATCTATGGGAAACTCTCAAAGATCTATAGGAAACTCTCAAAGATCTATGGGAAACTCTCAAAGATCTATGGGAAACTCTCAAAGATCTATAGGAAACTCTCAAAGATCTATGGGAAACTCTCAAAGATCTATAGGAAACTCTCAAAGATCTATGGGAAACTCTCAAAGATCTATAGGAAACTCTCAAAGATCTATGGGAAACTCTCAAAGATCTATGGGAAACTCTCAAAGATCTATAGGAAACTCTCAAAGATCTATGGGAAACTCTCAAAGATCTATAGGAAACTCTCAAAGATCTATGGGAAACTCTCAAAGATCTATAGGAAACTCTCAAAGATCTATGGGAAACTCTCAAAGATTCTCTGTCAGGTTCTCTGTCAGGTTCTCTGTCAGCTGAGGTTGAGCTGTTTTAATATGCATTGAGTTCTATGGGGAAAATTTCTGGGTAGTCCACGCGAATTTAGTCTGGTTCAGTCTGCAGTACCGCGAGAATCCCCCGAGCACATGAGTTATTCAGCTACAAGCTAGTAATACCCTATCCAGTTATTATCATAGATCCATGAGTTTAACCAATGACAAAGGGCCTCAAGGATTTGAATTCATTTCGACCAATCAAAATGAGCCTGGGCTTGTTTTCAAAGCTCTGGTTAGATTCACTCACTCTTCACTGAGTCACTGTTTCTACTTGAAGTTTGGAACTGAGATCCTCTTTGGGGCATTCTCTCACTTGGTTTTAGGCCCTTTAACATCAAACTGCACCTGAACAATTTGGTACAGACCTATAATTAAAAAACTAGGGGTTCAAAAAAACACAAATAAAACAAATGTGTGTGTTATTTGTGCTTTTACAGCTTAGAAAATCCAAAAATAAAGTACACTGCTTTCTTCAAGGAGTGGACATTAAAGGAGTTTGTTAACAATATTAGATTTGAGTTTTAACTATGACAGTCGACTTAAAACTTTGAGTGTTGTGAAGTATTGAAAGAGTACTGGACAAACCTTGTTGTTTCTGCATGTTGGTGAAGTCCTCAAAGGTGAGGGTCCGGACTGGGGGTCTCCAGAAGGCGTAGGTCTCCATGATGGCCTCTAACCCGGTCCTAACACACAAACGGAACATGTAATTATCTGACAGGGTGTAAACGACTGTGTGGTGGCAGAGTGGTTAGCACAGAGGGTTTGGGTTCTGGTTTCTGAGTTGAGTTTGCATGTTCTCCCTGTGTCTCCCTGTGTTTGCCCCAACCACTAGAAACATGTATAATATCAAAAAAAGGTCAAAGCATTGATTTAAACTGATGCTTACCAGCTTTTTTTTGGTAAGATCTGAAAAATGTGGATAAATACAAGGTCTGAGTGGAGTTTGCATGTTCTCCCCGTGTCTATGTAGGTTTCCTCCGGGTGCTACGGTTTCCTCTATCACTAAAAACATGTATTATACTGTATGTCTGGCATGTGCCTCCTGTCGGTGACCTCACTTCTTTGCTCATGTCTGAATAAAGAACCAAAAAAAACATTTATTATATGAGATATTTAAACTGTATTTAATCTGCTTTAGTGATTAATCTTACATTTAATTGGACCTTTGTGAACTACTTTTTAATTCTGTTGGTCTATAACATTTCAGCCGCACCGTAGCATAAGCCGCAGCTTTCAAAATGCAGGAAAAAAACCGCAGTTTATAGTCCAAAATAATACAGTACTTACTTATAATCAGTTTTAGGCTTGTTGATAGAAGTAGCTACGGAAAGACAATATCTGATCCATTTTCTGCTGGTACTAGTTTGACAAAGACATAACTTATCGACAACAACAAGCTGACATTACCGTCCCATTTCTCACATTACTAACCAGCAGAGGTGTGGACTCGAGTCATGTGACTTGGACTCGAGTCAGACTCGAGTCATGATTTTGATGACTTTAGACTCGACTTGACCAAATATAAAAAGACTTGCAACTCGACTTGGACTTTAACATCAATGACTCTGACTTTCACTTGGACTTGCGCCAATTGACTTGCAAAGACTTGCGTAACCCGGGCCATTTTTACCTTTCTCCGCATCTCTCTTTCTATCTATGCCGTCTCTGAAGAAACAAAGTCTCGCGGTAGTTGTAGCGCTCGCGCGAGAGTTCAAACGTGAGTTCCAGGCAGTTCGCGCAGCAACACTTCCCTAAACAAGCGCACTGCATTCACCGGTGGGTGTGTTGTCGTAGGGGAGCTGGAAATGAGCGAGCTGCAGGTATTTATCGCGACCTAACGTCATATTTTGTTCTACAAACCGTAATTGATATGCTTTCACTACAGGCGCCTCATACAATTGAATCGACGCAGTTGTCACACTCTGTGCCGTGTTTTAAAGAGGAACTGGTGAGTCAAACTAGCGCTAGCCTGCGCTGCTCTGTTAGCTCTTTCTTATATTTTTCTGTGTGGGCGCCGAGGCCTATTATTATGAGTATGTTTTTGCTGTGCTCCTCCTGCTAAAGTTTGCATACATTAGATAGTTGTTTTGATTATGTGCACTAAGCTAGATTAATATTTGCACTATTGTTTATGGTGCATTGATATGAGAATCAGTGCTTTGACTGATTGAATTAATTTATATGAGACATTTTATTATGTAATGATATATTGGTAATTATGAGATATTACTAATGCTGGCCCAGTTCATACAGGCCAGGTTCCTTCCCCTCCATTGGTCCCTTCAGTCCTTTGGAACAATAACCACTATGGACATTAAACTGATTATATAGATACAGGTCCTAGCCCAATACTCATATTCATATATGCTGCACTTGCTACTTCCCATTAAAAACCCCAAAGATAAAAAGTATGTTGACACGGACTGCTCTGATTTTATGTGTGGTCTGTGCATGTGTAACTGAGCCTGCATCTGGCACAACATAGTTTTGATTTACCAGCAGCCAACCACATGGAACAAACTGTTAGTCCATGGGTCAGAGACCAACGAGAATGCACCAGCAAAATGATTCCTAACATTATTTTGTTTGCCTACAAAAGTACGTGGAGACCAACAAGAAACAAATCGCGGTCAAAAAGACTCGAGAAGACTCGAAAGTCAAACCGTAGGACTTGGGACTGACTTGAGATTTGTTGGCCTTTGACTTGGACTCGACTCGGGACTTGCCTGTCTTGACTCGTGACTTGACTCTGGACTTGAGGGCAATGAATTGAGACTGACTTGTGACTTTCTAAACAATGACTTTGTCCCACCTCTGGTAAATAGTCTGAAGTTGTGGTAGTTGTGTGTTCGCTAAAAGGAGCTCACACGGAGAGTCCAGACCGAAGGAGCAGAACCCCTAATCCCGCTCAGAGGAAACCAGGGCCGTTAAAAGGGCCAGGTTTTTATTGAGGGCATAAATCTGTGTGACGTTTCATCTCAAATCTGTAGCTGGCTGTGCTTCCTGTCTGATTTACTCCAGTGTCCCGAGGAAACCGTGCGCCCGACACCCCTTTCCCGTGTTATTTTTGGGCCGCAGCAGCTCGTTAGTGGGACGTACTAATCGAAAAGGCCCATCCGGATCACTACGCCCATTCATAAAGCCCGGACCGGCCACAAACACGACCATATTAAGAGACTGGAAACTCCCAAAAGGAAACCGGCGGCTGCTTAATGTGACAATTATTGGTTTGCCCTTTGGATTGATTCAGGATTTCCCCTTAAATGTGGAATTAGCAGCTCACGTTCCACGGCAGATTGGCTCCATTCACACTTTGCAATTAATTTTATTTTTGGTTATTTTCTCCCATGCAGTGGTCGTATATTTTATGGTCAAATTGGGTTAAAATAGAAGTGTACACATTTGGAGACTACCGGGTTCTGTTTCGGAGGTAGAACGAATGTATGTCCAACCAAATGTGTTTTAATATTGTTTTCATAAGACAATTATTCTATTTAAACGTGTATGTAACTACAAATAGTTCATACGGTAAATATGAAGTAGTCATCTAATGTGATAAGTGTATAAATAAAAACTGCACTTCTACAATTTTACACCAGTTTATTAAAGTAAAAATATGTAATATTTTCATGTCAAGGCATCATTAAAGGGCCTTAATCTGTCATCTTTAAAGGGCCCTAATCTGTCCTCATTAAAGGGCCCTAACCTGTTCTCATTAAAGGGCCCTAATCTGTCATCATTAAAGGGCCCTAATCTGTCATAATTAAGGGCCCTAATCTGTCCTCATTAAAGGGCCCTAATCTGTCCTCATTAAAGGGTCCTAATCTGTTCTCATTAAAGGGCCCAAATCTGTCATCATTAAATGGACCTAATCTGTCATCATTAAAGGGACCTAATCTGTCATCATTAAAGGGCCCTAATCTGTCATCATTAAAGGGCCCAAATCTGCCATCATTAAAGGGACCTAATCTGTCATCATTAAAGGGCCCTAATCAGTCATAATTAAAGGGCCCTAATCTGTTCTCATTAAAGGGCCCTAATCTGTCATTATTAAAGGGCCCTAATCAGTCATCATTAAAGGGCCCTAATCTGTCATAATAATAAACTGTTCTTTTCCAATACTTATTTAACTGATAACAGTAACTGATTCAGCTGTTATGGTCCCAGTTGGATTCGTCTGCATATCTGGCAACCTGAGTCAGGGAGAGTGGGAGAGGCTGCAGTACCACTTTTGGCCACATGTTTACATAATGCTGTTTTAAGTTTTTATTATGACCACTTGCATCTGCCTTAATCTCTATTGTTCAATTGCTTTTGTGAAATCATGACCTAATATCAAGTCCTTTTTGCAGATTTGAGTGATCTCTCTCCCAAAGCAGGAGTGCCTCAAACTGATTGCATTTTTTCTTCTTCATAAACTGTAAAGAAGACGCCGATGTGTGAGGATGGCCCTGAACACATAGCTCACTCCTCTCTCCATCTTTTTGCCAATAAAACTCTAATGCCAGTTCATAAATCAGTCTCCTATTGTTTGAAAAATGAAAAAAGATGTCTTGAATATCTGCGTGCCAATAATGTGGTCCAGATGAGGGGCCTGCTCTCGTGTGGAGGGTCCCGGAGCCAAACCCGGCCATTCAACTCTACACACTCTATATTATTATACGTTTTACTAATAATTATAGCATCATTTCAAAAAGCCAATCACATCAAACAACAAACAAAATTTTATATATACACTCCTCTAATGCAGGGCTCTTCAACCTTTTTCAGTCAGAGAGCTACTTTTATACAAACGAAGAGGCAGAGAGCTACTCCTTTTTGCAGTCGTAATAAAAATCTATTTAATAATTACGACAACAAATGGAGAACACATGTAAATTATACCATGATACTGTATAACCCGATATCTATACGTATAACGGATATGCAATGGGTCAAAATGCATTCATTGAAGATCATTTGTTAATTCTAATTCCTTTGGCGAGCTACCTGAAGGGGCTGGCGAGCTACTGATAGCTCCCGAGCCACAGGTGGGAGACCCCTGCTCTAATGAATATATTAGCATTAGCACATTAGCATACATATTTACAAGTGTAGTTACATAAAGTATATATTTAAACATGTAGAGAATCCCATATTTGTCATTTATCATAACATAACGAGTATTTCTTTCCTATTGTTACTGGAAAACAAACCCTAAAATGCTGTAGAGCCTCCACTAATCTGGAATATAATCTGGGGTTCCAAAGTGAGACGCTCTGTACCTGTTTCTTCCAGAATCTCTGAATCCTTTGGCAAACGGGTTACGGTCGATCTTTAGTCTCGTGATCTGAAGGAAAAGATTAAACTTTATTATTGTCATCGTCACAACACCTCAGAATAGTTCCACAATAAACAACAAGAAGTACAAGCAGCATGATGACTTCTGGTAATGAATGCTGAGGGTACCTTCTGGTTCTGGTAATGAATGCTGATGGTATCTACTGGTTCTGGTAATGAATGCTGATGGTATCTACTGGTTCTGGTAATGAATGCTGATGGTACCTGCTGGTTCTGGTAATGAATGCTGATGGTATCTACTGGTTCTGGTAATGAATGCTGATGGTATCTACTGGTTCTGGTAATGAATGCTGATGGTACCTGCTGGTTCTGGTAATGAATGCTGATGGTATCTATTGGTTCTGGTAATGAATGCTGATGGTACCTACTGGTTCTGGTAATGAATACTGATGGTACCTGCTGGTTCTGGTAATGAATGCTGATGGTATCTACTGGTTCTGGTAATGAATGCTGATGGTACCTGCTGGTTCTGGTAATGAATGCTGATGGTATCTACTGGTTCTGGTAATGAATGCTGATGGTACCTGCTGGTTCTGGTAATGAATGCTGATGGTACATGCTGGTTCTGGTAATGAATGCTGATGGTACCTTCTGGTTCTGATAATGAATGCTGATGGTACCTGCTGGTTCTGGTAATGAATGCTGATGGTACCTGTTGGTTCTGGTAATGAATGCTGATGGTACCTGCTGGTTCTGGTAATGAATGCTGACGGTATCTACTGGTTCTGGTAATGAATGCTGATGGTACCTGCTGGTTCTGGTAATGAATGCTGATGGTACCTTCTGGTTCTGGTAATGAATGCTGATGGTACCTGCTGGTTCTGGTAATGAATGCTGATGGTACCTGCTGGTTCTGGTAATGAATGTTATGGTACTTGCTGGTTCTGGTAATGAATGCTGATGGTACCTGCTGGTTCTGGTAATGAATGTGAAGGTACCTGATGGTTCTGGTAATGAATGTGAAGGTACCTGCTGGTTCTGGTAATGAATGTGAAGGTACCTGATGGTTCTGGTAATGAATGTGATGGTACCTGCTGGTTCTGGTAATGAATGTGAAGGTACCTGATGGTTCTGGTAATGAATGTGATGGTACCTGCTGGTTCTGGTAATGAATGTGATGGTACCTGCTGGTTCTGGTAATGAATGTGAAGGTACCTGATGGTTCTGGTAATGAATGTGATGGTACCTGCTGGTTCTGGTAATGAATGTGATGGTACCTGCTGGTTCTGGTAATGAATGTGATGGTACCTGCTGGTTCTGGTAATAAATGTGATGGTACCTTCTGGTTCTGGTAATGAATGCTGATGGTACCTGCTGGTTCTGGTAATGAATGCTGATGGTACCTGCTGGTTCTGGTAATGAATGTTATGGTACTTGCTGGTTCTGGTAATGAATGTGAAGGTACCTGCTGGTTCTGGTAATGAATGCTGATGGTACCTGCTGGTTCTGGTAATGAATGTGAAGGTACCTGATGGTTCTGGTAATGAATGTGATGGTACCTGCTGGTTCTGGTAATGAATGTGATGGTACCTGCTGGTTCTGGTAATGAATGTGATGGTATCTGCTGGTTCTGGTAATGAATGTGATGGTACCTGCTGGTTCTGGTAATAAATGTGATGGTACCTGCTGGTTCTGGTAATAAATGTGATGGTACCTGCTGGTTCTGGTAATGAATGTGATGGTACCTGCTGGTTCTGGTAACGAATGTGATGGTACCTGCTGGTTCTGGTAATGAATGCTGATGGTACCTGCTGGTTCTGGTAATGAATGTGATGGTACCTGCTGGTTCTGGTAATGAATGTGATGGTACCTGCTGGTTCTGGTAGGCCGTGACCGTGGTGAAGACCGTCTCGGGGAAGCTGAAGCTCTTGACCCCCTCCCCGGTCGGGACGGGTTTGTTCGGAGACAGGTCACTGCTGAAGTCCTTCCGGATCACGTGGACTCGCGGCTGGTACTTGTGCATGGAGTGGAGGATGATCTACGAGAGACGGACCGGGTCATCAGCACCGACACTCAGGACTCACTCACAATAATAAAGTTTTTGTTTATTAATGTAGCGCATTTTACCAGGTTCAGAGTTCAGACATTGCTCCAATCATTCCACACAACTCTCTCATTCACATTCATACTAGAAAACATACGCAGACACAGGGAGAACATGCAAACTCCACTCAGAAAGGCCCTGTTCTGACCAGGATTCGTACCCAGGACCTTCTTGCTGAGAAGCGAGAGAGCTAACCACTCAGCCACTGTGCCGTTAATAATGTTACTTAATACAAAAACAAGGCATTGTAAAGTCTATTATTGTATTCTCATTAATGATGGAAGAGACATGATTATCATTAGCTGAATAAATTAAATATATTTTCACCAAAACTATATTGACCGTTAATAGTACAGTCATTCTTTAAGGTTTAGATGCTTTTGATTTGACATTTTGCTCATATTAGGAGTGAGGCATCTGTGAACAGAGAAATCTGTTGTCATTAAAGGCCCTAATCTGTCATCATTAAAGGGCCCTAATCTGTCATCATTAAAGGGCCTAATCTGTCGTCATTAAAGGGCCCTAATCTGTCATCATTAAAGGGCCCTAATCTGTCGTCATTAAAGGGCCCTAATCTGTCATCATTAAAGGGCCCTAATCTGTCATCATTAAAGGGCCCTAATCTGTCATCATTAAAGGGCCTAATCTGTCGTCATTAAAGGGCCCTAATCTGTCATCATTAAAGGGCCTAATCTGTCGTCATCAAAGGGCCCTAATCTGTCATCATTAAAGGGCCCTAATCTGTCATCATTAAAGGGCCCTAATCTGTCATAATAATAAACTGCTCTTTTCCAATACTTCTTTAACTGATAACAGTAGTTCAGAGATATTTGAATTTCTAAATTACTTTTCCAGCCTCTAAATCTTGTTATTGTTTTCATTTCGATGTCCCGCCCTCCACCGTTTCAACAATCAGAAAGTCTGTGATCCGGGCGCCAAAACTCACCGTGTGGAGCTAATCTCACTGGTAAAGTACCATGTGGCGCAGAACTAAAAAAGGTCTCGTTATGATTCTCAAATCATTAACGACAAAACAAGGAATAAAACCAGGATTTCTATCTTTGTGAAAAAGGTGTTGGTTATAGATTTGTTGTTGACAAAACTCTTGTCTATTCAGCTGTTATGGTCCCAGCTGGATTCGTCTGCATATCTGGCAACCTGAGTCAGGGAGAGTGGGAGAGGCTGCAGTACCACTTTTGGCCACACTTTCACAAACTGCTCCTTTAAATTAAGTGGTGCAAGAGAAAGAGCTGAGAAATAGTCACTCTTTGACACTTTGGATGAACTGAGAAATGGTGATAAACCGTTCTTTCTGAAATAAACGCTGTTCTAAATCTGTGCTGAGGCTGAAAATGTGAAATGAGTAACATAAATACAGCCAGCACCAGCCGTTTTAAATACTAGGATGTAGTTTCACTTTAGCATTTGGAAAATCCACAGTTTTGCAGTTTCACAAAACAGATTAAATTATGTTAAATATAATCCCTGTTTTCATAATCCCTGTCGTGTTAAAGGTATGTAGTGTTAATGAACCGTATCAAAGCTTCACAGGAGTTCAGTGAAAGACGCAGGATTATTTTGCAGTGTAGTCCAGGCGTCAGTGGGGCCGGTCCCGCCTCGGGCCCCGGTCTGGTCCTGATTATAAAAGGGTGAGAAAACCTCCCCAGAGCCAAACAGCCCAACCTGCCCCCATCACCACAGCTCCAGTATCAGACACCGATCTCTCTCACGAAGACCCAGAACAGATGTCAACATCGTTAGAAATGATCTTTGAGAAAGTCGAATAATTACATGAATAATAATCACACCAGACATGACCTTCAAAGACTGTATTGTTCGGACTATAAGCCGCAGCTTTTTTCCTGCAATTTGAAGGCTGCGGATTATAGTCAGGTGCAGCTTCATTCATGAGGCGACAGTGGCTCAGGTGGTAGAGCATTGGCCCTTGAGCCCGAAGGACATGGGTTCGAGCCTATCACGAGACCTTCTCCACCGTTGCTGTCGTTGTGTCCTTGGGCAAGACACTCAACCCACTTTTCCTATAAGGAGCGCGGAAGTGATGTTCGCTGCTTGCTTTGATGTGTATATGTATATGTATGTGTATATGTGTATGTGTATGTGTATGTATATATATGTATATGTGTCCATCCATCCATTTTCTACCCTTTAATCCATTTCTGGGTCAGGGGGGTGACAGTCAGAGATGCCACCCAAGTCTCATAGCACCAGCCCCTCACTGACCCTCTGCAGGTGGTGAGTCCACAGGAGGACGGCTGCTCTCTGAGTGTGAGCATAGCCTTGATCTTTCAGTGGGGGCTTTGGGCAAAGTGGGGTTAAGTGTCTTGCCCAAGGACACAACGACAGCAGTCATCAGTGGGAGTCGGTGGAGAAGGTGTAGAGGTGGGAATTGAACCCACAACCTTCAGGTCTGAAGGCCAATGCTCTACCAACTGAGCTACTGTATATGTGTATATTTATATTATGTATATGTGTGTATATGTATATGTATATGTGTATATATGTATATGTGTATATGTGTGTATATGTATATGTATATGCATGTATATGTATATGTGTGTATATGTATATGTGTATATGTATATGTGTATATGTGTGTATATGTATATGTATATGCATGTATATGTATATGTATATGCATGTATATGTATATGTATATGTGTGTATATGTATATGTGTGTATATGTATATGTATATGCATGTATATGTATATGTGTGTATATGTATATGTGTATATGTATATGTGTATATGTGTGTATATGTATATGTATATGCATGTATATGTATATGTATATGTGTGTATATGTATATGTGTATATGTGTGTATATGTATATGTATATGCATGTATATGTATGTGTGTGTATATGTATGTGTGTATGTATCAAACTGAAATGTTCTCATTGTGGGACGAATAAACAACCTTCTTTTTTTTTCTGTGTTGCCAAGAACATTTTTCCAAGTGACATTAGACCGACAGAATTAAAGAGGAGTTCACAGAGGTCCATTTAAATGTAAGATTTGTCAATAAAGCAGATTAAATACAGTTTTAAAAGTCCTCATTTATAATATTTTTGTGTAAATATCTCATAATAAATAGTTTTTTAGTTCTTTGTTCAGACATGAAAAAGAAAAGAGACCAGTTTGTGTTGCTTCTTTCTTTTCTGTGTCAAACTGAGAGAGAAAAAAAAGGCTTTTAATCCAGTGCGGTTTATAATCCAGTGCAGTTTATAATCCAGTGTGGTGTATAATCCAGTGCGGTTTATAATCCAGTGCATTTTGTACAAGAACAAAACTCAATTTCTTTTCTAAAAATTGGAACCTGCAGCTTATAATGAGATGCGGCTTATAGTCTGGAAAGCACGGTACACGGTTTTATCATTATAAGAATTACAGCTGAGACTAAAGTGCAGATGGTTTCTTTGGAGAACGAGACTGTTATGAGAGAGCGGTATTTGTTAGATGGATTTTACAGTTAAAGAAGCTATACCCAATTTTTAATGAGTTCATAAAAATGTTTATTACTACATACAAATTGTATTATAATCCGAGATTTAAGTGAAAACGCTCCTCCAATCACAGAACGAGGCTGCGTCCTCTAGCCTCTACAGCGCTGCTAAACACAGTAGCATGTTAGCATAAGTGGCTATAACTCCTCTGGCTGTAACTGCAGACACAGCAAAACAGCCCAAACCACACAACAGTGAGGAAGAGAAGAGGGAAGGACTTTAACTTTATATCAGTCACATGACATTTGGCAGGGCATGAACATATGAAAGGCATGAACCTGTTTAAACAACATTCATATTATTATTATTATTATTATTATCATCCATCCATTCATTTTCTTCCCCTTAATCCATTTCTGGGTCGGGGGGAGGGGGTTGGCAGTCAGAGCACCAGCCCCTCACTGATCCTCCTGCAGGTGCTGAGTCCACAGGAGCTGAGATCTTTCAGCGGGGGCTTCAGGCAAAGTGGGGCTATGTGTCTTGCCCAAGGACACAACGACAGCAGACATCAGTAGGAGTCGTGAAGTAGCTCGAACCCACAACCTTCAGGCCTAAAGGCAAACGCTCTACCAACTGAGCCACTGTCGCCCCTAAGTACTTTTACTTAATATTTAAAAATGTGCCAATATATAAATAAAACAAGATTATTATTCACAATTTCACAATAAATTAAAATAAAATTAAACAAAAGTGATGTTATCCAAATAATAATGAGATCAATTTTTAGTACTTCCAAAACAGCAAAAAAAAAAAGCAAAAAAAAGAAACACTTATTATTTGAATAATCTACCAAACAATAAGACATTAAACATGTCAGAAAGTCTCAGGCTGAAGATTTGCTGAAGACGTTAGTGGCACAAACACATAAAGAGCAACGGTTCATTTAGTTCAAAAGCTTCAATAAAAATACTTCTTTTGCATTTTATAAGTTTTTCCCAGAGACTCGCAGCTCGGGCCGAAGAGACGGAGAGAAGAGGCAAAACTTACTTATCTTTGTAGAGTTTTTGGAGCTCTGAATGAAATAAGACGAGAATAGAGCTATGACACAGATGTGATCGGGAACGCTTCAATACCGCCTTAAAACTGGGGTCATTTTCAAACCACAAAAAATGCAACTGCAAAAAAAATCTGGCCATAGTTTGGTTCGATCATAATTTTTCACAACTTTCTTTTGTCTTTTTCCCACATCTTACTATCAACTTTTTCAGACAGAAAAGTTAAAGGAGCAGTGTTTAAAGGTGTGGTCAAAAGTGGTACTGCAGCCTCTCCCACTCTCCCTGACTCAGGTTGCCAGATATGCAGACGAATCCAGCTGGGACCATAACAGCTGAATAGACAAGAGTTTTGTCAACAACAAATCTATAACCAACACCTTTTTCACAAAGATAGAAATCCTGGTTTTATTCCTTGTTTTGTTGTTAATGATTTGAGAATCATAACGAGACCTTTTTTAGTTCTGCGCCACATGGTACTTTACCAGTGAGATTAGCTCCACACGGTGAGTTCTGGCGCCCGGATCACAGACCTTCTGATTGGTGAAACGGTGGAGGGCGGGACATCGAAATGAAAACAATAACAAGATTTAGGGGCTGGAAAAGTAATTTATAAATTCAAATATCTCTGAACTACTGTTATCAGTTAAAGAAGTATTGGAAAAGAGCAGATTATTATTATGACAGATTAGGGCCCTTTAATGATGACAGATTAGGGCCCTTTAACGATGACAGATTAGGGCCCTTTAGTGATGACAGATTAGGGCGCTTTAACGATGACAAATTAGGGCGCTTTAACGATGACAAATTAGGGCCCTTTAATGATGACACATTAGGGCCCTTTAACGATGACAGATTAGGGCCCTTTAGTGATGACAGATTAGGGCGCTTTAACGATGACAAATTAGGGCGCTTTAACGATGACAAATTAGGGCCCTTTAATGATGACACATTAGGGCCCTTTAGTGATGACAGATTAGGGCCCTTTAATGATGAGAGATTAGGGCCCTTTAACGATGACAGATTAGGGCCCTTTAATGATGACAGATTAGGGCCCTTTAACGATGACAGATTAGGGCCCTTTAGTGATGACAGATTAGGGCGCTTTAACGATGACAAATTAGGGCGCTTTAACGATGACAAATTAGGGCCCTTTAATGATGACACATTAGGGCCCTTTAGTGATGACAGATTAGGGCCCTTTAATGATGAGAGATTAGGGCCCTTTAATGATGAGAGATTAGGGCCCTTTAATGATGACAGTTTAGGGCCCTTTAATGATGACAGATTAGGGCCCTTTAGTGATGACAGATTAGGGCCCTTTAATGATGAGAGATTATGGCCCTTTAACGATGACAGATTAGGGCCCTTTAGTGATGACAGATTAGGGCCCTTTAATGATGACAGATTAGGGCCCTTTAATGATGACAGATTAGGGCCCTTTAATGATGACAGATTAGGGCCCTTTAGTGATGACAGATTAGGGCCCTTTAATGATGAGAGATTAGGGCCCTTTAATGATGAGAGATTAGGGCCCTTTAATGATGACAGTTTAGGGCCCTTTAAACTGCAGAAACTGAACATTTGTGGAAGATTAGAAAATCCTGTACATGCCTGACTGTACATTTTGAAGTGGCACATACATCTTAAATACATAAAGTCTATAAAAATGGGATTTAGGACAAAAAATCCAACATTCACATCCCACCACACAACATATTTTTGACATTATTTATATTATGATTAGTTTTCTGCTACGTAATGTTGTACCCACAGGGGCGGTGCTATCATAATGAAAGTGTGGTGGCAGCTCTGGGCCCCCTAACCTGGTGGGCCCCCTAATAAAGTACCCTTTTAACAGTGTCTTAAGCCTGAATATGGAACAAATTTGTCGGTTGAATTAATGTATTATAGCCTCGCCTCAATTTCACACTATTTGATATTTGTCGGTAGTTAACTTATATAGAGAGAAAACGCAAAAAAAAAAAAAAAAAACATCTGATTGTTATTATTATTATTATTATCTCAGTAAAAAAAATTCTGAAAGTAAAAAAAGTTTAGGAAAAAATAGACATATATTATGGAGAGGACCCCAGACTGAGACCTGCCCAGGGCCCTCAGATCGGTAACTCCGGCCCTGCAAATACCCGGAACAAATGAAGTTGTAACTCTCTCTCCCGGTCACTATTTACAACCGTAATATGTTTTACTAAATGTGACTCATATATTTCTAAACATAAGGTCCTTGTAAAAATCTGAATTTGCGGTGAAACTTGGAGGCTCCAGTAAAACTTTCACCTTTCAAAGCCACATCATATATTTACCCAAAACCCAAAACCATTATAAATCATTCTTTTCCTCTCTTTCACACAGAACACACGCAGTAAATCCGGACGGTGTCGCTCCAACCGCGGTTATTCCACCATTAAAAACATGTACGTTCGATTAGTTAACAAGATTAGACCTAAAATAGCAATATGTACGATTTAAGGAATAAAACCAGGTTTTTTAAATGACTTTTTAATGAATTTTTGTGTTTTCAAATTGTCTTTTTGAAGCACTTTGAATTTTCTTGTACAAATAAATGATTGATTGAATCTTCCAAAACTGCTGCTGTGATTTAGGGCAGTAACGAAATTAATTGAATAAAATAGAATTAAATCTTTAATACAATAAATTACTATAAACTCCACTCTTATGGGAATAAGAGTGGCATTGAACATTGGTTGTGATGTGATTTTTCAAATGTCGAAAAATAGAGTATTGTGAAGAAATTACCTCATTCAAAAATACCACACATTCTGAAAATTCTAACCTATGGGAGAATTCTAGGTTTTCTTGTAGAAATAAAAGTTTCTCTGCAAAAAATGTAGTTATATACATGTAAATATATCCACTGTGATATTGATAAAGTATATATTAGCGTTTGAATTAAGTCGTTTTTACATTTTCTCACAAAATTCCTAGTCTTATCGTTTTGACGGATATAAATCATGATGAATATGAGACGTCTTAAGACAAAAAATACTTACATCAAAACAAGAGAAAACCCGAGAAATGTTCCCAGATTCAAATTAATTTTAAGCTTTTTTTTAGCATGCACTTAAATAACTATAGTTTTTGCAATTTTCTATTTTTCACCACAACCTTTTTGATTTGATTGTGATTAATTGTGTGATATAAATCAAAATGTCCTTCAAAACAGCCCGGTCTCCATCACACTAAACCACAAAATCAAAGCTATTCCGTTACCGGGACAACCATGTGGTCCGGGCCTCACTCCTCCATCATACTGCACTAATGGGACCACACACACAGAGAGACACACACACACACACACACACACAGACACACAATTTCTTACGTGGCCCTGGTCGTCCAGCTCGTTGTTGGTGAGTTTGAGTTTGTCAAAGCTGACCACTTGTCTCATCCAGGTGTCGCCCGAGGCCAGGGAGTCCGGGTGGATGTAGACTCTAGGGGGCACCGGCGAGTCCGCGTTCCCAGCCACCATCCACTTGGAGCTGTGGTAAACGTATCTATGAAGAGAGAAACATCTCACAAACTTTTGGAGTTTTTCCCCATATTTTTTAAAACAGCGGACTCTCCAGGACCCACATCTCCTTCTCTCATCTGCGGAGTTTGCGATTGAAATTAAATAAAGGTCCTTGTTATGATTTATTTTCGGTTTTTGTCACAATAATTTTCCACTGTATTCGAGCCGTCCTTCAATGCCAGCCTGTCGGGAGCCGGGGCCCCACAGAGCAGCCCCCGGGGCCCATCTCCAGATGTTGGTAAGGACGGCCAGAGACGGAGGATTTTTACTGTTGTGCAAATGTCGGCTTCATGAAAAACAGAGAAAAACATGTATTTGATTTAGACCCGGGAGAGAAGGTGTTATGTCATTTAAAGTACAGCTTATAGTGTTTCATAGATAACTGTTTGTCCGTGTAAAACTATTGTATTTATAAATCTAACTATAACTGTATGATTTTTAAATTTGTATGAATGTTTGTAAAAAATGTATGAATTTTAAAACACAAATGGGCCTATATGTAAAAATAAATAACTTGTTGAGAACGTTTTTAATTTCCTTTTGTCTTTTTATAATAGAGCCATTAAATTACACCAAATGCTGCATATTCAGAAATCTCCCAAAACATGAATCAATTACAAATTTTTGTAATTTATAAAACTTAAACTTATAAAAAAAAGATGTTAATTTATTAATTTACATAAAAATATTTAAAATAGCGCAGCCGTACATCACAGTTTCAGGTTCAAAAACATGTCGCATTTCTTAGCGCATAAACGTACGCAATATAATTCATCTTCAATTCTTTTTTCTTATGAAACTATTTTATTTTTTATCTTAGCTGAAGAAATCGGCCGCATTACCACAACCTTGTATTTTCAGACTCATGTGTTTTTTTATTGTGCTTGAAATTTCTAACAAGAGCGACTGAAGTGAAGCAGCTGCAGCCTGAAACACAGAGAGTCGTAATATTTGATGATGCTGAGGATATAATGGGGCCCCTCCCTGTCACAGCGGGGCCCGGGACCAAAGTGAAGCCGTTTCTGGCCTTTATTCTGGGTTATAAATGTCAGCAGACTAACTTTAGAATCAAACCCATGCTTTATAACATTCTGGGATTCAAACCTGAACTTGCAAACCGTGCAAGAACTATGTCATAGAATTTATATACGATCTAACTCTTTGTTTTCACACGAATCTTTTCTGTTTTGTGCTGGAGAAAGAGTGTTACGGATCAGATTTTACTGCAGAAAAGTGAAAAACAAAGGACCACCCTCCCTCAGCCAATCAGCTCTCAGATCGCAAGCGTTAAATAGTGACTTACAGAGCTTTTTCTTACAGATATGCAATAATAACATGTTTATAATACCGTTAAATAGCATGATTAGGGCAGATAATAACATGTTTATAATACCAGTAAATAGCATGATTAGGGCAGATAATAACATGTTTATAATACCAGTAAATAGCATGATTAGGGCAGATAATAACATGTTTATAATACCGTTAAATAGCATGATTAGGGCAGATAATAACATGTTTATGATACCAGTAAATAGCATGATTAGGACAGATAATAACATGTTTATAATACCGTTAAATAGCATGAGTAGGGCAGATAATAACATGTTTATAATACCAGTAAATAGCATGATTAGGGCAGATAATAACATGTTTATAATACCCTTAAATAGCACGATTAGGGCAGATAATAACATGTTTATAATACCCTTAAATAGCATGATTAGGACAGATAATAACATGTTTATAATACCAGTAAATAGCATGATTAGGACAGATAATAACATGTTTATAATACCGTTAAATAGCATGATTAGGACAGATAATAACATGTTTATAATACCAGTAAATAGCATGATTAGGACAGATAATAACATGTTTATAATACCGTTAAATAGCATGATTAGGACAGATAATAACATGTTTATAATACCAGTAAATAGCATGATTAGGACAGATTGGTTCAGGTTTTACGATACAATACTCTGTTAGGAAAAAGTCAGGTACCCCAGCTTTAGAGAGTATAGTAAACTAAGCTATTCACTTTCAGGTTTGTGTGAGTTATAATTGAACATTATTTACAGACGTCGTTCCAAATCAGAAAAAACAAAAAGGAAAAGTGGTAAATACAAAGTATTTTTAAGAACGAAGATGTAAAAGTGTTTGTTTTGAGAGAAAGTATCTGAGAGACTGAAGGAAAAGCACATGTTAGGTTTTAGTTCTGGTTTTCACTGATTTATTTGTCATTGATACAAAGTTCTTCCAGTGTCACCACCGCACACACACACACACACACACACACACACACATACATGCACACATACAGAGACACTCACACACACACAAACAACACACACACACACACACACACACACACACACAGACACACACAGACACACACACAGACACACACACACACAGACACATACACACACACACACACACTGACACACACAGACACACACATGATTACAATACCCCCTATATTTTAAGGATATTATAATCTACATCTTGATTTTTTCTTGCAGTGTTTTGTTGTTATTTTTGTTAATATTCGTTAAAAACAGACAGTGAAAAAACTCTTCAAAGTTTAGTCCAAATTAAACATGGACTGATTTATCGACGACCGACGCTTTAATATCCGTCTTTTCAAAACTAAATATTTCAACCCAGGATGTGTGAACTTTGTGTTTTTATTATTGGGTTTTTTTTGGCTCAAACTTGACAGAACTTTAGCTTCTGACACCGCCGCAACTCTGACCACTCCCACTTTTATCTTCCATAACTTAAACATCAGACCTAAACACACACAGATTATAGGCCGGGAGAAAACCAGGAATTGGATTAATATTCTCTGTTCAGACAGAAATAAGAATTATCCACAGAAACTTATAAAGGTCCGGAAAAGGAAACAGAAAGAGATTTATTGTTCAGCTTTTGGTCATTTGTTTTAAAATTTTTTACAAATACATCCATTGTTTAATATTCCATGTCCCGCTTGTATCTAGTTATATTCAAAATTATATAAAATCACCAAATCTCAAAAATATTCTCCAATAAGTATAAATAATTGCATCCATATTATCCAGACCTGTATATTTCCTAAAAGTCCTAGTAATGATAAAGTTATGATTTATTCTTGTTTTTCTTGAGTTCCCATAAAGACAAAAGACAGCATTATTTGTCAATCTTGGCAATGTTGATGATTAATCGAGCAAAAAACGGACAATTCTATCTGAATATTTGAATGTGGGCGGAGTTAAAAAGCTTAAATCTCATCATTACCGTCAGTTCCCGCAGAAAGAACCTTCTAATTGTGAAGGAATATTAGTTTTTCTGCCTCAGTGGATGTGAAACCAATCCATTTTCAGCTTCAAAATGGTGATTGACTTGTTCTGAAAAACTTGCAGCTTTGAAACCAGACAAACGGACTCAACAAAACACTAAACTGTGGAATAAAAGTTCAATATAAAGCGGGTACAGACTCAGACAGACCAAAGCCATGTGGGTCCAGATCTCGTGGCTTCAGGAGGAGATGCTCAGACGGAGAGCACTGACCACAGCTTGTTACAGAAAAACTCTGTTATGAAAAATGCCGACTTTAACTTTACTGCAAAAATTATGCGTTTTCAAGTTTTCCAAAACTGAAGAGAAAAATCCTGTCGTTCCAAACATTTGAGTGACAGACCATGAAGTGACCTCAGATTATTGCTTTGGTGAAAGAAATTTGTTTATTTCTGTCCAATGATTTATAAAACAGCTGTGATCTATACTTCCCTCTCGGACAGAGCTAATATCAACTACATTAAAGGAGCAGTCTGTAAACATGTGGCCAAAAGTGGTACTGCAGCCTCTCTCCCTGACTCAGGTTGCCAGATATGCAGACGAATCCAGCTAATAATACATACATAATATGTGTATGTATGTGTGTGTTTATGTGTGTGTACATGCATGTGTGTGCGTGTGTGTGTCTGTGTGTGTGTATGTGTCTGTGTGTGCGTGTGTGTGTATGTGTGAGTGTTTATGTGTGTGTGTTGATGTGTATGTGTGTGTGTGTGTGTATGTATGTGTAAGTGTTTATGTGTGTGTACATGTGTTTGCGTATGTGTACATGTATGTGTGTGTGTGTG